TGTATACTAGAATAGATGTTCATGTGTTTATCTCTAGGTTTTCTGATATTGATGCATTCCTATGTGTGTTGATGCTATGAATCTAGTAATGGTCAAGGTATGGTGCTTTAATGGAATACTCGTGTGATTTGTTTAACGGTTCATGTTCATTTCTTGATGGATTGTGTCTCTTCCTTAGTTTAATTAGTTTGATTTTCATGTCCCTAACTTAGTTGTGGTGTAGTTGCTTTACTTTCTTAGATGGAAGGACAATCCATGTTTGTTGTTTGATGTTCCATACTTATGAATGCAAATAGTATATTTCTCTAAATTGTGGGTGTGTATTGATTGAGGGCTTAAAGGAAGGAATAATGGCTTAACTTAATATGTTGTGCTATTCACTAAATTGGTTAGACAATGTATGCTTACTTAGCCATCCATACTATTATTTCAATCAATTGCACACAATTTCATTTATAACAGATGTTTCCCCTTTATCCAATAAACATTGAATGTCTAGGAAAATGGTGCTTAGTGGTGAATTCTAGGTCCCAAGACCTCTCTCTTATTCTCTATACTTTACTTAATTTAGTTGTTTCACATTGCTTTCACTTAGTTAAAATTGTAGTTTAATTAACCAATCAAACTAACTTTTGATCACTCAACCTACTAATCCGACCTTGTTTCCAAGCAAAAGTACGCTTCCAATCCCTTGGGACGATCCCTACTCACCCTAACTATATTTTTAGTTAGAAGTGGTAGTAGCATTTCATAAATTTAAACTTGGCACACTACACTTTTGCATGCTTTGGTTTGAGGTGACACCACTTCAGGCAATAGTTTGGGTGCAGTTCTTATGCAAGGCGGCCATCCAATTGCTTATTTCAGCAAAACGCTTTCTGGTAAAAATTTGAATCTCTCTATTTATGATAAAGAGATGCTTGCGATTGTTTCTACAGTTTATAAATGGCGTCCTTATTTATTCGGTCGTCACTTTAAAATTTACACGAATCATCGGAGTCTTAAATATTTTTTAGAGCAACGGATTTCTTCCATTGAACAACAAAAGTAGCTATCTAAATTATTGGGATATGATTATGAGATTATATATCGCCAAGGCATTGACAATAGGGCTGATGATGCTTTATCTCGTGTTTTTGAGGTACTGAGTTTTCTCGCTATCTCTTCCCCTATTTTTTCTGGCATTGATGATATTGTTTAAGAATGTCACTTAAATGATTCAATGCGAGCTATTATCACAGGTCTGCAACACTCTTCTTTGGCCAAGAAGTACTATTCTTATGTGAATGGAATTCTTCGCTATAAAAGCCGTATTGTCGTTGTTCTTTCTTCTCCTTAGTGTTCTAAATTATTGCATGAGTTTCATGCCACACCGACGGACGGTCATTCTGGGTTCTTACACATTTACAAGCGCTTGCATCATAATTTTTATTGCCCGGTATGAAAGGAGCAACTAAGTTTTTTATTGCTCGATGTGATGTTTGTCAACGCAATAAAACTGAATCTCTTTTGCCACCTGGGCTTCTTAGCACTTTGCCGATTCCTGATGACGTGTGGGTTAATTTTTTCTATGGATTTTATTGAAGGATTGCCGTCTTCAAATCGCAAAACTATAATTTTAGTGGTTGTGGATCGCCTCTCTAAATATGTTCACTTTAGTGCTCTTTCTCATCCATAAATTGCCACTACTGTTGCTGATATTTCTATAAGGGATGTTGTTCATCTGCATGGCATGCTTCGTACAATTGTCAGTGATAGGGATTCCTTATTTCTCAGTAATTTTTGGGAAGCCTTTTTCACTATGAATGGTACGCAATTATATCGAAGTTTAGCTTATCACCATAAGACATATGGCCAGACCGAGGTTACTAATCACACTTTAAAGTGTTATCTTCGATGTTTTGTTGGTCAACAACCTCAAAATTGGTCTCGTTGGTTGCCTTGGGCTAAATGGTGGTATAATACCACCTATCATTCTGCTATTCAAATGACTCATTTTGAAGCTATGTATAGCTGTCCTCCTCTTTCAATTTCAACTTATCTTTTAAGTAGTACTACTGTTGATACTGTGAATTTGGCATTACGGGCCAGGATCGTACTTTGTAACTTTTAAAGGCTCATTTGCAATCTATTCAGGCTTGTATGAAAGTTCATGCTGATACCAATCGCACAGAACGTTGTTTTCAGGTAAACGATTGGGTTTTTATGCAGTTGCAACCCTATCGACAGTCCACTGTTGCATCTCAAAATTATTCCAAGATTTCTCCACGTTTTTATGGGCCTTTCCGCATTCTTGCAAAGATTGGTCGGTCGCTTATAAGTTGGATCTTCCAGCCGGGTGTTGTATACATCCAACTTTATATATCTCTGCCTTGAAGTTGAAATTGGGTGTTCATGTTAGTGTTGAACCTCGCTTACCCTCTATATCTATGTTTGATGCTACTGAATGGGTGCCTGAAAATATTTTTAGATCGCAAAATTTTCAAGAAGAACAACCATGTTGTTACTCGTTGGCTCATTAAGTGGCAAGACCATCCTGTTGAGGAAGCTACTTGGAAAAATTATAAGGATTTTTGTGCTCGTTATCTAGATTTTTCGGCTTGAGGACAAGCCATGGTTCAAGGAGGGTGGAATGTTAGGAACCTACTACTATTAAGTTTATTTTAAGAATATTGTTTCTTTCCGATTATTATTTGCTATGTTAAGAAGTCTGTTATTTCTATTTTTCATATATATATGATGCTCGTGTAATGGAATTAAGGTTATTATGAATAAAAACTAATATTTTTGGTGGCTAACCCCTAATTCAAAGAATTATCGGTGGTTGATTTCCAATCAAAAGATCAATTTAGGGTTTAGAACCCTATCAGAGGGGTTGTCGAACCAGAACGTCCACGAGTGCTCCAGCACATATGGTTGGCTGACGAAGGCCGCCAGTGGCTTGGAAGACGACGATCCGTCATCGTCGCCGACGACCTCTCCTTCCTCTCGCTCTTCGTTATCATTGGGTTGAACCCTAGGATGGTGGTCCTCTAGGGTTAAAGATTTATCTACATCCACTATATATATATACATATTTTTAATAAATATGCCTATATATATATATATATATATATATATATAGGGGTCAAATAGCTTGGGCGATGTTTGTTCTTAGGGAAAATTGTTGGAAAATATAGTTGGGAATTGATACTTTTGACAATAATTTTTCAGAAATAATACTTAGTTACAGAAGGCATCCTCAACTATTAATTATTGTAATTAAATCCTCCAACAATTAAAAAAAAAATTAGAGATTTTAGCTCTACTGAGCTTTTGATTGAATGAAAACTTCTAGTTTTAAAATTGAACTAGGAGATTTTATATTTTATATAACTGATTTTTTTTTTTCTTTTTTTTTTTCTAAGAAATTGTCTTCCTTTTATATTTTTATAATTTTCTCTTTTATTTCATTTTAGGAAGTCCTACTATTTTATCAATTGAACTGATTATTTTTTATTTATTTATTTTTGTATCTTATTCTAGTAATTAGAATCTTATTCTTTTTTTTCGTAATTTTAAAAGTTGGTTGCCAAATAAGCCTTTATGCTCCACTATATATAGTTGTAGTTTTAGGAGGCTCATTTATTTATTTATTTTGGGCAGGAGGCTCATTTATTCATTCATTATTGTAATAAGTAAACATAGTTCTTTTTATGAAACTTTGTAGAATCAAAGTTTTTCTATTATTTTACTATCGAGCTTCTTCCACTTTGTCATTATACTAATGAGATTTGGTATTTTAAGTGCACAAACCCACTATCACTGTCAAAAAATTAATAACCATTGGGTGATTGTTTTTTTTTTTTTTTTTTTTTTTTTTTTTTTGGCCAAATTAAGAAGGGGATTCAAACAAAGACACACTCGTTTGAGTTTTGATATTTTAATTTTTCTAAATAAATTTTTTATTAACGAGATGTTTTTTAGTATTAATTTTATAAAATTAACGGGAGTGGCCAAATAAAAAAATAATAATAAAAAAAAATACACAAACCCACTATCGTGATCAATAATTAATGACCATTGGGTGACTGGATTTTATTTTTATTTTTTATTTTTTATTTTGAGAAAGGAGAACTCGAAAAGGGACACACTCACTTGAGTAAATTAGACGCTCAACTACCTAAGTCAATAAATAATACTTGGAGAAGTGATTTAACGAATCAATCATTAAAACATACAGGGTAATATATTTAACTGTTGTTGCGGGTCGAGTACCCACTCCCAATCCGCCCATATTGATTGGTTTGGAACTTTCTTTTCTTTTCTTTTTGTTTTTCTTTCGAAAAGTTGGGTAATTGGGCCATAACAAAAGACATGTGCCATAGTCTATTGGGCCACTTTGAACAAAACAAACCCAAAGCAATTAGGTTCACTAAAGTTATACCCAACCTAGCAAAGCCCAAGGCAATCAAATAGCGTTTGTAACAACCGCTAGTTCATCTCCGGTGGTTCAAAGCCAACTAATTTGGCATATTTGAGAGAGCTGGAGAGCCCAGATCGATGAATCTGGAGGGCGTGGGGGGTGGTCTGATGAAAGAAGAAGGAAGATCCCAAACACTACTACCACGTTGAGCAGCCAACCCATTCTTACGAAGGAGTCTCTTTAAAATACACTAGGTTCATCATACATTTTTTTTTTTTTTTTTAATTGCGAGAGTTGATACCAAATTTGAATTCCGAACAGCCTGAGATAGGGTTTAGGTCTAAGTGAATGTATTGTTTATTTGACTGAATAATGATATTCGAAACGAAGAGTTTGAACGAAATTAAGAGTTGAAGTCTCCCTATTTAATAGATACACTTAGTTGAGTCCCGCACATCGCTCCTAATTGGTTCTTATGTAACATATGGGGAGCCTTTCTGGTACTAAAATTGCATGTTGTCTATTACGTACTGAATTTCTGATCCTATATATTGCAATTGTTCAAGTAATTAAGAGTTAAACTAGATGGGAAATTTTTATGTCAAAAATGATCATGATAGTGTAGATTGTACAAAATAGCACAACAGGATTATCCCAGTTTCAATGAGGCAAGACGGGAACTAATATTATAGATTAATTTTAAGCACACATACATAATTCATTTACAACATATAACTCAAAACACATCATACTTTACCATTTTTTTTTCTTTCATCTAAGAATATATATATATATACACACACACACACACACACTAATCACATGCCATCAAGTCTCATGGTCTTCTTCATTAATTTGAATCCTCATTTTCTCTAAGAATGATTTTCCACTGAGCTTACGGGAGAAGAAATCTTTGAAGTACTTTTCCATCACTACTCTCTTGAATAATGGGGGATTTTGTGGGTTTATAAGGCTATGTGCAGGTCCAACCTCTGCTTCAAACTTGGGATTGAAAAACATGGCAATGGAGATTCTTTCTTTCATTGAATTCACTGTCGCCCTATGCTCAATGCTATTATACACGCCATTGCTAAAAATCTGCAAAAAAATAAAACCAAATTGAAAAGACACAACAATACATGTCTTAACTTGACCATGAATTTTCTTATAGATATTGAATTGATCAAAACGGTGTAACTTACATTGGACCCTCTAATAATTAACAATTATGAAAAACCCAAAAACTGTTAGTCCATATATTAATAAATTCGATGATATTCTGTGATTTTGTTTACGAAACATTTTCTCATAATATATGATCTTTAGTAATTTATCCTGGTATATACTAGTTCTTATGAGTGCGGATCTTGGTTCAATGGTAATGCTCACGTAATTGAAAACAACCTCTTTATGCAAAGAAGACTCGGTATATCTGAGTCTCTACGAAACTGGAGCCTCGCGCACAGATCGAGCATAGTTGCATACATATATACAAAATATGTACTGATGCTATCTAATCAAGTTTTAACACCTAGTTTAGTACCGAAGTTTAAAAGCTGTAGAAATGGAAGCTTCCCAGCCAGTAGCTTTATTTGAGCATCAGTAATTGTCTTTGATAAATTACTGGTACTTTCTCACACGTCAAGGTAAAAAAAATGGAGCATTTAAGACCCTATAGGAAGTTAGGATCAACTGTGTATTTGTGTCTTTATTGCCAAACTAAAAAATAAATATATAAAAAAAATAAATAAATGTTTTAATTAATTCCGAGCTAGTTTAATTTTAAAAGTGCCAATTGATCAGCCTATCTGATATGTACATAAAGTTCATATATATGCCTATATGGATGTATGTCTGCGTGGGTGGAAAGAACGCTAAAAAAAGGTTGAAAATTAGGTAGCGTGAAATTTAGGCCAGATTCAACTAGCATATGATTACCACATTCATTTATTTTAATTTATATATGTAGATATATATATATGTGTGTGTGTGTGTGTACATATATGGAGAGAGAGAGAGAGAGAGAGAGAGCAAACCTCTAGAATGTCTCCAACATTCACTACAAACGAATCTGGGAGGAAATTTACAGGAATCCAAACTCCATCTTTTTTAACTTCAAAACCTTCCACTCCATTTACTTGGAGAAGGATGGTGATACCGCTAGCATCCGAATGCGGCGTTAGGCCTATAACTAGCTCTGGTTGTGGACATGGAGGATAGTAAGTCATCCTCACTGATTGCATCCCATTTTCAAACATCTCTTCTATCTCTCTCTTGTCAATCTTTAGAGCCTTCGCCATCAACCCAAAAACCCGCATGGCAAGCTTCTGCAGCTCCGACAAGTAAGACTCCAAGCTATTCCTGCAGTAATATTAATAATCAAGATCATAAGAGCATGAAGTACGTACAGAGAAGTACAGAGAAATATATACAGACTAGTATGTATATATATATATATATATATATATATATATAACTAGTCCAGTACAAGACTCTTGTCATTATGCATGACAGCGTCGGTACCTCAGTGCTGAAGGTAGTTCTGGTAGTAAGTGTGGCTTCCTTCTGTGTAAAGGATTGGTTATCATATAAAATCTGTCAGCCCAATCGACCTTTTGATCTTCAGATTGGAGTATGGTCTGTCCATACCCTTCAACATCATCTGGCCTTAGTTTGTATCTCATTTTCTCTTCCAATGGAAGGTTGAAGAATTCTTCAATCTCATATTTCAATTTCTCCACCAAGGAAGAGCCAACTCCATGGTTCACCACCTATAAAAACACAATCATAATCTTTTTTTCTTTTCTTTTTTTATAGCTAAGAAATTAATATATAACAGGTAAAATTACATATAGAAATTAATCTCAACATATATTCAAGAATGTACGTGATCATATCGGGTAAGTAATTACCTGAAAGATGCCCCATTCTGTGCATGTCAAATGCAATTTCTGTAGTTCGTCTTCGTTTGCTTCATCCAAAATCAAATGTTTCATGTCAATGACAGGGATTGTTTTGCCGGAGGAGAGAATTGAAGGTTCTCGATCTGCTTGAACGTAGCGCTGTGGCACGGCCTCGAGCATAGAGCACTCTTTCACCATCTCCTGAACACTCATTGAACTCCCAGAGCCAGAGGTCACTGGTTTTGATGGTGATGCCATTGTTAAGCTCAAGTGCACCTATGCAACTGCATCTTGAGATGTGTATTTATAAAGCCACAAATTAAACACCTTTTGGTAAAAGATACACAATTAAGAGAAAATGGTAATTTTTTGTTTCCTAAATAAGAGAAAATGGTGGTAATTAAGAAACAAATATGATTTAATTAATGGTGTCAGGTATAGACTTTTAAATTTATATTTTATGTGGTGTTAAATATGCTGCTAATTATCACATATGCTTCAATGCAAATTTGGGTTGAATGGTAAGTAATCACGCAGTGGGGACCACACTCTACGCGAACTGAACTCAGGGAGAGAGTTCATAACAAAGGGATGTGATGATGATTTTGTTTGGATAATGCAAAATTTATTTATAAAATATTAGTATTATTGACTTGTACAACTTTCTAGAATCTCATCTTCTTTAAAAACAAGCATGTGTAATGTGTTAACCAATTTCAGATTGAATTGTAGCTTTCTGGTGCAAATGTACGGCTAATTCCTACCACCCACCACTGGCATTATGCGTTTAAAGCTAACCGCGTGCATCAGTTGAAAAGATAATCAATCAAAGCAACTTCAAATATTACGTCAAGAATAATCAATTAGCTGTACATTTGCTGTCTTCCACTCCTCTCTATTATTGTCAAATTAAACAAACACAATAAAGAAATCAATACATACAACAAGAAAGCATAAGTTTTACATGATTGATTCAAAATTTAAGATTACGTTTAAAAATCTTAAAAATTTCATTATAATGATTAAAAGAGTGACAAAAATTACCAAAATACTTTCAAAAAATTCGAACCTTGAATCTGCATAAGTGAATTTTAATATACAATATCTATTAAGTTCCACACTACCTCTTATCTATCTCTCTCTATATCTCTATTAACATGTGTTGTTCATGAATCACTGTTAGCTACAGCTCATGAGTGCAAAATACTTCTTTACCAAGAAAAAAGTCGTTTGCATGGATCGAATTCAATTCGATCAATGTCATGCACACATCACTCATGCAAAGGAAAAAAGAAAAGTAAAGAAAAACTAATACTCTTTAAGTTAGTTGGAAGTTGGAACATTTATCACGGTACCAATAATAAAATTAATAGTGTAAAACTGTAAATTACCCTAACACAATTAAATTAAATTATTACATTCCTGAAAAAATGTTAATTCGACTTAATAATTTAATCCGTCAATAATTTTTTGCATACATTGAATAAGGTTAAAATTTTGTTATTTGTCTTAATATATTTAAGTCTAAATAGTATAATCTTAAAAGCAAAATACGCACTTTTTTTCATTAGGCTTAAAAAATTAGGTTACTTTTTTCCGATTAAATTATTAGATATGAATAGTATTCGTTTTGAACATAAACAAACACTGTGAGACCCACCAATGAATTTCAACCATTCACAGAACCACCAATGGATTTCAACTATTCAAAGAACACAAATGGATTTCATTTGATCTCAATAGTATATTTTTTTTTTCGAACAGTATTCATTTGAACATAAACAAACGCCGTCAGACCCACCATTGGATTTCAACCATTCACACACCCACCAATGGATTTCAATTTTCAACTATTCTAATGAAGAGGCGGACCACTTCATATCAATTTACTATATATAAAATGTTCTCTTATTTTTCACTTGAACTTATAACGACATTATTCTTTGAGATTACGTGTTCATTAACATCTGAGTTATTTATTTATTTGGTGAATTGAAACTTCTTTTTTTAGGTAAGCTGGTGAATTGACTTTAAGTAATATAAAGATAAAAATTTCATAGTACTTGTCTCGATCTTTTCAAATATAACTATTTATATTTATAAAAATTAACATTATTTATAAAACGGAATCTTCTAATAAATGTAACTCTTTGCTCCTTCATCCTTTAACATTGAGCAAGCCTCTCAACACTGAAAAAAAAAAAAAAAGAAAGGATGAACACATTAATTAAGCACATGGAATTTTTATAATTTAAATTTATTCCAATGTTTTTTTTTTTTTTTCCCGAAAAACTTAACCAGTAGTACAGATGAAAGTAAATATGTACAAGTGAATGTTGGGCTAAAAGGACATTAATGTGTGCAACTATTCCAAATACTGCTCCATATATGTTTGAAAACTCAAAAGATAAATTTGATCACATATATATATGATAATCAAATCCCAGTGTTTTTCTTTTTCTTTCTATATGTTGATTGGAAGAAGGAGTAATTTAGAATTTAAAATCTATATTAAGGTCATGACAGGTAATTTTCTAAAGTCGAGCCACAAAGGATATTTTATAGTAGTAATCGAAGTCAATTATATATTATACCATAAGATAATTACATTTTTATTGAATCTAATTTTTATAAAATGATTTTTTCTTTTCTTTTCAAGTTAATAAGTTTACTATGTCACGAATATAATTTGTGAAGTTTTATCATTTTTCATAGATTATTAAACAAAAGTTATAGTTCATTTAATGTTATATACATATATATATCTTAACAATCAAAGAGTTTCAATTTGTGCTTGTTGCAAATCCTTGCCGACAGCAGAAACATGAACACCATGGATGAGACTATTCATGTGATAATTGCGAATTTCCAATGTTTTTATTGACATTTAAAATATATTTTTAATAACCTGTATCATAAAAAGACAAATTTTAATTTTGAGATCAGCAACTTCAGTGCATTATGATTTTTCACTGAGGTCAACGGTTGCCTTGTTTTATTATTGTCACTTTCACATATTAGGTGAATAGGTGTTGCTTATCTCACTTGTTTAATTTTCTATTTTTTAAAAAACGTGCCTAATAGTTGTAGATATTTTTATATGAAGTTTACTTTTTGACTAATATGCTAGGGGGCTAACAAGGCACGCTTCTGATTCTGACAAACAAATTGTAGACTCACACATGACATGTTCAAATGCAAATTGATAATGAAATCGTCATCGGTGATCAAATAAATCCTTTGCTATGACGTTATCTGCATTTTTAGATAGGTAGGTAGATTCATTTCATTGCATTTTGAGTAATTCTATGACGTAACATTCGTATAAAAAATACTTATTTAATATATTTATATTGAGAATGCGATCCACAGTTAAATTGTGAATGCATTCTCAATATTTAATAACGATGTATTCTTTATTTAATATTATTATATAAGATTGCATCAATCAATTTTACTGTATTGAAAAATACAATTGTCCTAGATGTATGGTATGCAAATATGCATAATTGTTTATATGCATTTCTAGAACGTACCCCAATTTGCAGATGGGATGAAGCAGTAAGTTTTAGACCATAATTGTTTATGTATCAGATTTACATCAATGTATGTATGCATATATATATATATATATATATATATATATAAAAAGATGGTATCTAAAAATAACTATGGATGCATTCTCAATATTTAATAACGACGTATTCTTAATTTAATATTATTATATAAGATTGCATCAATCAATTCTATTGTATTGAAAAATACAATTGTCTTTTAGATGTATGGTATGCAAACATGCATAATTGTTTATATGCATTTCTAGAACGTACCCCAGTTTGCGGATGGGATAAAGCAGTAAGTTTTAGACCATAATTGTTTATGTATCAGATTTACATCAATGTATATATGCATATATATATATATATATATAAAGATGGTATCTAAAAATAAATAATTTTACACGTATATGATTGTATATTCTATTTGTTGCTTTGTTTTTATTTTTCGGCTTATAATAAAACTATGTGGTGTTGCCAATTTTTCACTTGTCGACATCTATGTAAGCACGAGAAATCTTCCAAAATGCCTTTCACGCGACAGTGTAAATTGTTGACCAATGACAAAACAAAAACAATAGTATTTAATCAAGCATGACTTGTCCCCAAAACGTGAACAATGCATATGTACCTGTAAAGTCAGTTTGAAGTGCTTTTATGAGTAACAAGCCTTTTTGAGTGTTTCCCATTAAATATTAATGGGAAAGTACTCATTTGAGATTGGACTATCACTCTGCCAGGCACTTCCACCAAAATTAAGATTGTTCATCTTAGAAAAAAAATAACAACACACACACACATATATATTGTCTCTTTCTTGGTGTCATTAAAATGGAATTAATTTACAAAATCAATCAATTTGGCCGGTCATATAATAATAATTAAAAATACTAATCAAAGTAACTGAACTAAATGAGAAGAAAAAAATTATTATATCCTTCGTTTACGGAGGGATCGAGAAGAAAAAAATTATTACATTCTTCGTTTTCAGAGGGATCGACTTTGATACCATTTGTCACGACACCCAACTATGTAAATAGTGTCCTCTACGTTCAATTAGGAGAAATTCACATATACAAGTACATACAAGTGTTATTTTCAAATGATGTGAGATGTTACAGAGTGACCAGTGTATATATTACGAAAATGATGATAAGTTGATAGCAAACAATAATTCTTTTTCACATGTTTGCAATTAAAATTCTGTAAATTTTCAAATCAACCAAGAAAATCAAATGACAAAATTTTGGTTTTTTAACATCAAATGATTATAAGATATATATGAATTAAAGTGAGACACCAATTACTTTGATATGGATGCTATAAGGGGAAAAACTACCGAAAATTCCAAAGTACATAAATTTATTCAAATTTTCTTTTTCTAGGCATAATTATATGTCAACAAGATCAAGAATGCAATATTATTGGATCACATAAGTAACCTCTTTATTATGAAGTAGATTCGATCCACAATATTAACAAAAAAAATTTATGTAGTAAAATAGAGTGTCCTAATAATTTGTGAACTTTGGTTAAAACAACTATATGAATGATTAGGCTATGTTTTGTAGCATAGACAAAATAAATAAAAAATAAAAAAAAATAAATAATAATAATAACAACAATAACAACAACATTAGTTATAAGAAAAAAGAAAGGAAAAGAAGAACATTAGTTGTAAAAATAAAAAAAATTAATTAAAAAAAAAAAAGGGAAAGGAAGGGAGAGGTTAGTGTTAAACACCCATCGTTTTTGCTTTGATTAAAGAAGAAAAAGAAAAAAAAATAATAGTAATCATGTTTGAGGAAAGAATGAAAAAAAATCTATCATACAATTTTTTACTTATTGTCTTATATAAAAATAAGGATAAATTTGGTATTTAAAAATTTCATTAAAAGTAAGTTTGCAGAGTCACTCTAAAAAAAAAAAAAAAAAAAAAAAAAAAAAAAAAAAAAAAAAAAAACGTACTCTTTGAGCAAAAACAAAATAAAATAAAAAACCTCTAGTCTGCACTCTATTTTCCCTTTCTTCTTCTCTTTTTCATGCACATTGAAAAAACACAAAGGAAAAGGAAAAATTCTTCCCCTTATTCTGATAGATGTCCAAATGTCATGACAGGCCCCAACCCAACAAATCAAAGTCCAAACAAAATGAATCCCAAGTCTGATAGCCCAAGGCCCAAAATCTCCGTCAATCTTATAAATTTTGTTTTTTAATTTTTTGTGGCAGACAATTAGGACATCTTTTGTGGAGATCAAGAAGGAAAATTGAAGGAAGACAAGGTTGTTTTTGCTTTCTCATTGGTCTTTCTTCCTCAAGCTACCACCGCAAGTCCATGGAGTCAACGCCATCGGAAATTGTTAACTTGGGAAAATCTCTGATAGTACCTAGTGTTCAAGAACTGGCCAAGGAGCCCATCACCAAAATCCCACCTCGGTACGTCCGCGAACACGAGGACTCTCCAATCATATCCCATCACAATTTACTTCCATCAGTACCGGTCATTGATCTTCAGAGCTTGCTTACAGCAGATTACATGGATTCTGAATTAGAGAGGCTACACTCTGCTTGCAAAGAATGGGGTTTCTTCCAGGTTAGTTTTTTGTTTTTTTTTTTTGTGGACCCCATTAAAAAAAAAAATTCAAGAGCTATACTTGACTAAAGGTGTTAGTTTGGTGTTTTTCTTGTGTAGATAGGGTTGGGCTAAACACCTCAAAAATTTGGACCAAATATGGTAGTATAGTCGCTTCTATGATTTTGTTTGGATGCTATGAAAACAGGATGACGGAAAGTGAGGAGAGTTGGAATCTTTCCAACTTTGGCATTATGAAGTATTTGTGACCGTATGGGCCCACCAATGTATCCCGCATTATCTTTTCATAAATTAGCTGTAGGTGCAATAATGTCTCACAACCAGTGCTTGCGTATTAGACATTGCATTCACTATGACAGTTTTGGACTCAGCAGTCACAATTCATTCCATTCGCATGTGTTTCTTATGAACTCCTTTTTTGTCTTTTTTGAAAATGGTTTTTGTTCTTATCAACTGTCAAAAATTCTACTTCAACAGTATCCTGTTATCGAATTCATCTATGCATCTAGAGTAATAGTTAGGTCCTCATTAGTGATTTACATGCCGACTGCTGATGTGGATTAATAATAAATAGATACATTCTATTTTAATTACCAAATCAGAGATGATAATCAAATCAACATCTTTGATTTGATAAGTGGGTATCTACCCATCATATTGAATTTGGTAATTAAAGATGATATGTCCATTTATTATTAGTTCACATCAACCGTGAGAATGATATAGATCCCCATTAGTGATAACATAAGTATTGTTCAGCCAACGAAAACACCATTTGTTTCTTGATGGTAGAGAATAACAAATTAGTATCGATGGGGTTACTATTTTTCGAGCACCTCCAGGTATTGAATACTCATCCTTGAGGCCAGAAATAATAATAATAATAATAATAATAATAAGAAGAAGAAGAAGAAGGGCTATTTTCATAAAACCTCTACTACTTTCAAATTTTAATCATAAACCCTCAATCTATTTCAAAAAAATCCTTACACTTTAAAAGGTGATCATATTACTCCAATATCCAGGTCTAACCCGTTAACCAAGCTGTGAAAAGACTAATTTGACCTTACTATTTAATGTTAAATTTAAAATTGAAAATTATTTTTTATAAAATTAAAAAATACCCTTGTCTTCTTCAATACCCTTATTTCTCTCCATCTCTCACCCCCCTCTCTTTAAAACAGACCCAAAACCAAAACCACCAGCCGACGCCGAAATGGTCCCTACAACACCTAGTCTGAAGATCGCCCACAGCTCACCCACTGCACGAAAACCAACCAAAAGGTCGTTGCTCTCTGTTCCATTAACCAGGTCGCCGGAATGGCTACCTGTTATCCCTATCTCTCTGACATATCGTTGGAGTTAATGGATGTTTGGTCCCTGAAAAAATTAGCACCCATCTTCCATTAATGATGCTGGCAACGACCTTTGGTTGTTGCATTTCTTCTCCAATTACCGTGTCACCGGATGGAAACTTGGTTTCCATTACCCGACGATGACCATTATGTCGCCGTCTTCCTCAACTACTGGGTTGTTATTTAAGCGACCCATCCTCTATCCATCAACAACCCAAACCAGGTCGCTAGAATGGCGACCTTGTTCATCCTTACACAGTGACCTTGGTCGCCATGCTTGCACCAACGATCTTCAAAGACTCAACCCTAATTTCTCACCAAGCACAACACCAAACCCAAATCAACATGGTCACTCCTTCTCTTAACACCCTTAAACCATCCTCCATCTCCACCATTAGATTCCTATGTAGCTAGAAGATACACGTGTGGATGTGGAGTGTGATATTTGTGATGTCGTTACAGAACCATCACTTCGTCTGGTGATGGGTTTGTTTTAAAGAGAGAGAAAGGGGTGAGAGTTTTAAAGAGAGATGGGTGATGAAGAAGACAAGAGTATTTTTGTAATTTTACAAAAAAATAATTTTTAGTTTTAAATTTAACATTAAATAGTAAGGTCATATTTGTCATTTTATAGTCCAGTGAACGGGTCGGACCTGAATATTGAGGTAATATGATAACTTTTTAAAGTATAAGGGGTTTTTTGAAATAGATTGGAGGTTTATGATCAAAATTTGAAAATAGTGGGGGTTTTATGGAATTAGCCCTAATAATAATTATTATTAATATGATATTTTTATTGAGATTAAGACTTACTTTTGGGATTATTACATATAAATGGTGATAATGACTCATATTTATCATTTAATGGACTCAAAGTTTCATAGTTTCTAAAAAATGAAGTTGACCAAAATACTAATGTGGACATGAAAAAACACTGTTTACCCTCTTGAGATACCACTTTTAGACACATAGGTACCACTTTTTGTACACGAATGTATCACTTTTGTTTTGGACATAGAGGTATCATTTTTATTCACATAAGTACCACCTTTTGTGCATAAAAAAAGTGGTACCTGATGCACAAAAAGTGGTACCTATGTGCCTAAAAGTAGTACTTCAGTGAGAGTAAACATTGTTTTTCTATGTCTTTATTTTTTTGAAATTATGAAACTTTGACTTCATTAAATGATAAATATAAGTTAGTAATACCATTTATATATAATAATCTCTTTACTTTTAGTACTGAATGTACTTTGTTTGGAGGGCTTAGGTCAACTACCAAATACCGAATCCTATGTGCAATTAAAAAAACGACCAACAGGCGTGACCCAACAGTACCCTAATATGATCAACACTTGTGACTCCACCGAAATAAGACTATATATAAATACTACTAGATGTAAGACGAATTTTTAACCATTGGCCTAGTATAATATATAGTGTACAAAAATGGGCTAAGTATAAGGTTTAATACATGGATAAATTTAAGGTCTGTGTTTTGAGGAAAATAGTATATACTACCCGGCCCAATTGTTGGTACGGTTGGGAAACTTCGTATCATCGAGGTATTGTAAAACTTTTCTTGTTTGGATGACAAAAATAATTGATGAACGGTAAATACTGAATGTATGATTTTCTTTGTAAATACTGGATGTATGATTTTGTTTGCTAAATGAAGCGCAGGTTATAAACCATGGAGTGAATGGTTCATTGTTAGATGAATTCAGAAGAGAAATTATAGAATTCTTCAAACTTCCAATGGAAGAGAAAAGGAAGCTATGGCAACAACCAGACAACCATGAGGGGTTTGGGCAGCTATTTGTGGTATCAGAAGAGCAGAAGCTTGACTGGTCAGACATGTTCTACATAAACACCCTTCCAACCAATTTAAGGCAGACTCAACTATTTGAACATCTGCCTAAAAACCTCAGGTCTCTCCCTCTCTACATTTATCATGTATGTCATATTAATATTGTTGCCCCCATGCCCTTACTCTCTAGTTCAAAATGAACCCTCATTTGCCCAACAAAATTTTCGAAACACAGACCTTTTCTCTCCTTCAGCAGTCTCCTAAAATTTTTAAGAACTAAATTTCAGAAAATTATTTTGATTCATTTTTTTTAAAAAAAAATCATATTATTGTTAATGGTTGTCCTATCTGAACTAAATTCCTTGCTCCACTGTTCATATGAGTGTAGGAAGACATTGGAAGCTTACTCTACAGAGGTGAAAAAACTAGCCATGACCATCTTAAGTCAACTGGCCAAAGCTTTGAAGATGGATGATGAAGAGATGAGAGAGCAATTTAGTGATGGGGTGCAGTCAATGAGAATGAACTACTATCCTCCATGCCCTGATCCAGATATGACCATTGGCTTCACTCCCCATTCGGATGCCGATGCTCTAACCATTCTATACCAGCTCAATGAAACCCAAGGCTTGCAGATACGAAAAGAAGGAAAATGGGTACCGGTTAAGCCGCTTCCAAATGCTTTTGTAGTCAACATTGGAGACATTATGGAGGTAATTTTTTAGCTTAATTTTGAAAAATGAAAGGGTAACATGCCAATTGGCTCAATTTATGTGAAAATGGATTTTGTAATTGTGGCAGATTGTGAGCAATGGCCTTTATAGGAGCATAGAACACAGAGCAACGGTGAATTCAACGAAAGAGAGGCTCTCCATTGCAACATTCTATAGCTCCAACTTAGACTCAGAGTTAGGCCCTGCACATAGCCTTATCAGTCCATATAACCCTGCAGTTTTCCGGCGAGTCCCTATTGATAAGTACTTCAAGGACTTCTTTTCTCGAAAACTCGACGGTAAGTCATACCTTGATTTCATGAGAATTGAAAAAGGGGATGGCTGCAGTGGTTGAACGAAGCTATGCTGGTTGAGCATTTAAATGGTAACACAAGAAAAAAAAAAAAAAAAAAAGTATGTTAAAATTTTCTGAAGTACTGCTGCATAATTCCCTAGCTAATGTGGCCTTAGCTTTCTTTAAATATTTGACCAAATGATTTACAATCAGCTACTAATAATCCTTACAGGAAATACCCTTCTTATCAAAGAACATGTAGTTCTTCATGTTACATTTGTGAGCAACGAATCCAATTTCAAATTTAAAAATATGATTTCTTTCTATTTCAAATTTAAGTTCGTACTTTTAAACACAACATCGTGTATTATCGAATGTCTTGACTCCTTTTCTCAACACACGGTATCATTGCAGACTTGCAAAAGGTTCAAGGTTCTAATAAGCATAATTTATGTAATCTGATTTTGAAGATACTAGTGCAGGATTGGTTTGGTTCAAAGTCATTTTTTGGGGCGTCTTTGATCTTTTTTTGTGCGATATGGAAATTGGAATGTTATTTGCCATCACACAGCTTTTGTACCGATGGTTATATAAGAAGACATTGACAGAGCCTGCAACTAATCTGGCTATTTCTGTTTTGATTAACTTGAAAATTTGAACCAAGAAGTTCAGAATATGTTTCAAAATCCATTACTAAGGATAATTAAATGATGGATAAATAAATAAAAACATTAATTATGAAAATTCAAGTAGCTCTTTGGTTCAAGGTTCTAATAAGCATAATTTATGTAATCTGATTTTGAAGATACTAGTGCAGGATTGGTTTGGTTCAAAGTCATTTTTTGGGGCGTCTTTGATCTTTTTTTGTGCGATATGGAAATTGGAATGTTATTTGCCATCACACAGCTTTTGTACCGATGGTTATATAAGAAGACATTGACAGAGCCTGCAACTAATCTGGCTATTTCTGTTTTGATTAACTTGAAAATTTGAACCAAGAAGTTCAGAATATGTTTCAAAATCCATTACTAAGGATAATTAAATGATGGATAAATAAATAAAAACATTAATTATGAAAATTCAAGTAGCTCTTTGGTGCATCAGAAATAAAACCACTACTATTTGCCACAAACTACCTTTGTCACTATAGTTACATTGCAAAGGAAGTGTCCTTCTGGGGATGGCAATTTGCCCACCCATTTCATTTAAATCGTTTTTGGGGAACTGTTTAAGTTATTTGGGCGCAAATTTAGGGAGAGGGTGGGGACACCCTGCCCCGCCATGACCCGTTTAGATTATTAGGCTTGTTTAGTTTTGGTGCCATTATAAAATGCTTGTAATTTAAAATTTTATGTCATTGATTACTTTTTTATAGATTTTTTTCAATAGTTATATAATTATACTTCAGGAAAATAAATTAAAAAATAGGGATAATTTTGGGTGTGAAAGGGGCGGCGGTGGCGGGAATAAGGTGGGAGGGTACCCATTTTTGACAATTTTGAACATAAATGGGACGGAGACTTTTAAACAGAGTTGAGAAAAGGTAAACCTGTCCAAAACCATCCCGTTGCCATAATACTACTAGTGCATCATGTAAAACCGTTAATTAATCCATGACATTTTCTTTAAAAAAATTGATGCAAATGACATCAAAATTTCTAGGAGTGTTGGGCCGCAAGCATTCAAAGACTTCCTTACATTCCATTTGGGCCCATCATACACAAGTATTATACATTTATATTGCATCAGACTATCATCACTCACATCCGAATGCGGTACGCATCGCAACTCTTGTGAAAGTTTTTTTTTTTTTTCGTAATTAAATTAGGTATTAGCTAATACGAAGTTCATGCATGCAATTTGCGTGTCAAAGTACACAATTTTTATACATTTATATTGCATCAAACTATCATCACTCACATCCTAATGCGGTACGCATCCCAACTCTTGTGAAAGTTTTTTTTTTTTTTCGTAATTAAATTAGGTATTAGCTAATACAAAGTTCATGCATGCGATTTGCGTGTCAAAGTTGCATGCATAGGTGAGAAAGTGACTAAAGACAAGTAGACAAATTTTATGCATTTTTAAATATATATATATATATATATGAGAGAGAGAATAGCTGATCACTACTACAATGGAACCAAAAATGATGAAGCTAGGAGGATCTCTTGAGGTACCTTGCGTTCAAGAACTGGCCAAGGAGCCACTTACCACAGTTCCACCTCGATATGTCCGCTCTGATCAAGACCCTCCATTCATATCCAACACAACTTCTTTACCTCAGTTCCCAGTCATCAACTTCCACACTCTCCTTTCAGCTGGAACTTCGATGGATTCAGAGCTTCAGAAGATGCACTCTGCATGCAAAGAATGGGGTTTCTTTCAGGTATCTATATCTATATCCATATCCATAATATTTGTATGCAGCATATAAGTTCCATCCAAGTTTTTTTTGGGTAATTAAATATATATATAACCAATATAAGTTTTTTTTTTTTTGGGTCCATATAGCCAACATAAGTTCTATCTAATAAGAATTGTGATTCAATTAGTTAAGTAGATAAAATAAGGTCCAATTTGTTTTCACTTGAAATACATCAAGCAAATCTCTAGCCCTATTCTGTTTGATTGATAGGTGCAACAATCATGATTTTTTCTTAAAACTCCTCGTTTCTTGTGTATTAAAATAAATTGAACTTATCATAACTGTCCATTGTCTGGGGTACCATATATACTCTCGAAAGATTGTATAGTACTTTTTCGCTAGCAAGATACATGCGTGGGAGGAATTAAAACCAACATCTCAATAGAAGTCTTAAAAAACAAAAAACAAAAAAAAACGGAAAAGAGCAAAGAGATCCTCGCTTAATTTGAAATTTTTATGTATCATGGATAGAAACTTTCAATTTGTCTTGATGCATAATAAATGAAGAGTTTTTAAGAAAAAAACATGATTGTCCATTGGAGGTACCAATTAATAAATACTCCAAAATATTATATACTTTTTCGTTAGCAGAATACATGCATGTGCCACCTTGGGCACACACATGCTCTCACCGAGGCTAGAACTCCTAATCTCCCCTTTAGAAGGATCAAGTTTATACCAATTGAGCTATTGCCAATTCAGTATAGCTAGCCTAACTATCATGTTAAGAAGGTGCGTTCTAAAATCTTTAACTATTAATATATAATTCAATTATTTAAATTCCCTAATAACAATTTTCTGAGACCAGTTTTTTGCTTTTTGAGAACTAAAAATCATAAAAGAGCTTCAAAAGATGCACTCTGCATGCAAATAATGGGGTTTCTTTCAGGTATCTATATCTACTGACTCATACATTAATATTTGGATGCTGGCTGCTGCATATAAGTTCTATCCAAGTTTTTTTGGGTAAATATATTATATATGTACCAATATAAGTTTTTTTTGGGTAAATATTGCCAATATAAGTTCCATCTAATAAGAATTGTGATTCAATAAGTTAAGTTGATAGAATAACGTCCAATTTGTTTTCACTTGAAATTCATCAAGCAAATCTCTAGCCCTTTTCTGTTTGATTGACATGTGCAACAATCATGTTTTCTTCTTGAAACACCCTATTTCTCGTGTATAAAAGCAAAATGAGAGTATCATAATTCTTTATTGACCAAGGTACCATATATAAGTACTCCCGAAATATTATATAATTTTTCGCTAGCAGGATTGCGGGAGGAAGCACCAACATCTCAATAGAAGTCTTTAAGAATAAATAAAATAAATATAAAAGATAAAAGAGCAAAGAGATTATGGCTTAATTTGAATTTTTGTTACACTTGGTATTTCTTGCCAATAAACAATCATAGAAACTTTCAATTTGTCTTGATACACAATAAATGAGGAGTTTTTCAAGAGAAAACATGATTATCCGTTCGTTGGAGGTAGCACTTAATAAATATCCCAAAATTTTGTATATTTTCTCGTTAAAAGAATACTTGCATGTGTCACCTTAGGCACACAGATACCTCCACCGAGACTAGAACCCTTGATCTCCTTTTTGGAGAGATCAAGTTTGTACCAACTGGGCTATTGCCCATTTGATATTGCCAGCATCGAAGGTGGGTTCTAAAAGCTTTATCTATTAATACATAATTCAATTATTTATATTCTCTAATAACAATTTTATGAGACCAGTTTTTTGCTCTTTGACAGCTAAAAATCAGAAAAGAGTTTTAAGTACTACTATATATGCAGTAAAGTAAGCTGCTTGGTTGAAAAATGCAGGACACATAGTGTACCAGAATTATAACATTAAAGAGTTTTAAATATTACTTATAAGAGATTTAGTGTTAATTAAAAATTTTGAATAGTTTATTTGTTTGTGCAAAACATATTGTTTAATTTTTGGATATTAAGTTAGTTAAAGGATTAATAAAATAAGATATATATCAATTTTTGGACTAACTAGTGTATACAAATACAAAATGATAACATGCCTGCAGTTGATCAATCATGGAGTGAGTAGTTCATTGATGGAGAAAGTGAAGATAGAGATTCAAGAATTCTTCAGACTGCCAATTGAAGAGAAGAAGAAGTATTCACAAGAACCAGGGGACTTAGAGGGATTTGGACAGGCCTTTGTAGTGTCTGAGGAGCAGAAGCTTGACTGGGCTGACCTCTTTTACATGGTTTCCCTTCCAACTCATCTCAGAAAACCCCATTTATTCCCCAAGCTCCCTCTTCCATTCAGGTCATCGTTACTCTCTCTCTCTCTCTCTTATATATATATATACATGATTATCACTCTGTTAATTAAGCTAAACAATTTTTCTTTTGATCATGCGCACAGAGATACCATGGAAGAATACTCAGCAGAATTGAAAAGCCTTGCCATGAAGATCCTATTCCTTATGGCAAAACCACTAAAAATGAAGGCCGAGGATATAAGTGATTTGTTTGAAGAAGGAATGCAATCAATGAGGATGAATTACTATCCTCCATGTCCACAACCAGAGCTGGTCATTGGCCTCAACCCTCACTCCGACTCTGTCGGCTTCACCATCCTCCTTCAACTCAATGAAATGGAAGGCCTCCAAGTCAAGAAAGATGGGATGTGGGTTCCTGTTAAACCACTCCCTGATGCATTTATAGTCAACATTGGAGACATCTTAGAGGTGGGTTGTGATTTAATTAATTTGTAAATGAGTATGCTATTAAGGTTGAAGAGTTTGAACGAAATGAGGAGCCGAAAACTCTCCATTCCAATGGATACACTTAAATGGTCCCCTTTCAATGGATACACTTTACTAGGCCCACGCCACTCTTAATTGGGTGTATCTAACGGATATGAAGTCTTCGGCTCTCCCTTTTATATATGATCTTCCATTCCATGCTATATACAAGACTCTGCTGAGGTGATAACTCATTTATCATGTCCTAATTAATCAATATAATATAATACCTATATATACATGTCTATATTATATATGTTTTTGCAGATTGTTACCAATGGAATGTATCGTAGCGTGGAGCATCGAGCAACCGTTAACTCAGAGAAAGAGAGGCTGTCCATTGCTGCATTTCTTAGCCCCAAACTGGAGGGAGATTTGGGTCCCGCGCCAAGCCTAATAACTCCTGAGACTCCTGAATCGTTCAAAAGAGTGGGTGTTGCTGATTATTTCAGGGGATTTTTTTCTCGGGAGCTCCGTGGGAAATCATACATTGATGTCATGAGAATCCAAAGTCATGAGGAGGATCCAAGCAAGCACTTAGCACCACCTAAAAACTAACCTGATCATGTTTGAATTCTAGTGAATTAATAAATATTGCATTACATGTTATGAGTACGTTCAAAGTGAATTAGTAATAATTGTTGTATTACATGCTTGACAATAATGAGGAAGTTGTGATTGAGTCGTGCACCTGGTTTTAGTTTGGTAGTTGTGCCCTAAAGCTCTTATTGATGATCCCGCCCTGTTTGAATTTTTGGTATGATACATTCTTGAACACAAGAAAAACTTATGCCTTACTTGATTTGTAATTCTAATAATAATTTTCTATTCTCAGAAAATTAAGAATAGAAAATTGTACAAAAAAAACTCTGTTTGGTTCAGCTTTCGAAAAATTGTCAGTTATAAAAAGGTCTGTTTTCAGATAACTGTCTTTTATTGTTCTCTAAAAACTATTTTATATTCTTTAAATTATTGATAACTGTTTTCAGAATTATAAACCAAACAAGTCCTTAAATACTGTGGTTGTAGTTCAGACAATAATTTATACACTTACACATAAGTGAAAAAGCATTTATTTTAGAGGATCCTATGTTGTACCATATCATTATTACTGTCACTGAGGCACTGAGCATTTAAGTTTTTAAGTTGAACAAAGGTCTTCCTCTGCCTTGGTTTGGGCTTGTTGATTTTAATTTTTGAGTCACTGCTTGGGCTTGGGTCAGGCCTTGTTGGTCCTTCTGGCTTGGGGTTATAGCGTAGGCTTTCTGGTTATGTTGTTTTCTTTTTCTTTGAGAGGTATGCCCGTTGTATACTGTAAATAGTTTTCATTTTTATACAAATTTAACTTATCAAAATAATAATAATTTGATGCACTTAATTAAATATGTTTAATAATGCAGGTAAGGCGATAGTATTTTCCATTACATGTGGGGCTATTATTAATTATATTTTATGGTAATAAATTTTCTGTGTAGTCAGGTTTGAGTATAACATGTGTGCACCGATAAACTTCTCTACTTGATTCATATTAATCACCATTTATTTGAAATTGAAAACATACTTAAAACTGTTTCAAATGATGAACTCGCTCACAAATGCCTTCGTAACCCAATGATTGGCTGAGAGCTACGCTTCGAACATTCGCATCTCTAAGTTTTAATCTAACAAGAACTTGTCTTCCCTTCCTCCTATAAAAAAGAGTTCATTTTCAGGAATATGACTTCTTTAAAGTGATATGCAATTAAGTCATTGTTCTTTTTAAAAATTATTATATCAATTAAGTCATTGTTCTTTTTAAAAATTATTATATTATCCTTTCAACAAATATGTATGTTATCAAGTTGGAAATTTTTTAAAACTATGCACTTATCTTCATTTGACTTTTAGACAATTATTTTGAGATTGTAAAAAAAAATAATAATAATGGACAATTAAATTAGAACTGAAAGATAATTATTTGTATTCTCCTTCCTTTTTGACAAATTTTGATCAGAACAAATCTCACAGATTCTTACAACCAACCACATTTTCTAAATTTGATTGAGAGAGCTAGATAAACCTGTTGTGTTCTTGATTTTAAGAATTCATGTGTTCTATTAAAACTAATTCATGTAAACGTTGGGAGTTGATTGAGTGGCATTTATCAATCGAATGCATGACATTTGTTTGTTAGGCCATCCTCTAATTATTAGGGTTTTGTCTTTGGTAGGAACCTGAGCAAAAAAATTTGATTACTTTAATTATTAATTTAAATTATAAGTTAAATTAACAAAGTTTAAATTATAAGTAATTAATTTAAGTCTAAAGTCGAAACTCCATTAGTGGTCTCAGACACTACCTGCTGTGCATGGTGAACCAGTAGCTCTATTATTATTACTTTAAGTATTAATTTACATTATAGTGCAAGGTGGGTGAGAAATGTAACAAAAATGAATTCTTCTTTGTCCTTTTTTTTCTGTTCAGAGGGAAAAAAGAGAGATAAAAGTACATCAACTACATTTAATTATTAAAAACAAAAGTAAAGCAACTTCGATTCAAATAATTTTTTCCTTACCTACAATAATTTTGTAGCTAAATAGTTTAAAAGAAACACAATGACGCGATAATAATACTCATCTTACGTCCTCATCTATTGAATCGAGTGTGTAACCTTAAATTTTGACCTAACATAGAGAATACGACTCTCTTTAGAGTTGGTTTCCGAAGTATTCTTATCGAGAGCCTTCTCAAATTCATCTAACGGATAAAGCATAAACATTCTTGTCGTCATATTTTTCCAAGTCTACTTCTCTCAAGTCATCTTCAACTACAATAAGTGAAGCAACATATTTTTTCTCTTGATCAACCTCAATAATATTAGTCGTTACATCAACAAAATTATTATTATTTTTAGTGCCACTATCTTTTTTGTGAATTTTCTTTATAGACTTTTTGATAGGTAGACTCTCTTTCCAAAAATACTCGTCCTCGAGTTTCTATTCAACTAATCTTCTTTGTCTCTTTTACTTCAAAAGAATTCGTCCTCAAATTTCTATTCGACTAATTATATATTAGTATAAATAAAATTAGTAAGTGTGCCAGTTTCCGATTTAATCACCGCATACCTTGATTAATTTCAATTTAATAACTGCCAAACTGATCTCGCCTAAACCCTTCATCATTGAGGTCCCCCACTCCAATTAGATCTCCATCACACACCAAACCGTGATGGCCATCTTTAACCTCTTCCAAGTTACGATCATCAGTATCTTTGAAAAATGGGTTTAGATGATTACCTTGCTTGCAGCTATCCCTAGGCTTCACATTGGACAAGTCAATGCAATTGTCCTTGTCATCACAGTCTTTCACTTCTATCTTACCCAAACCACCAGTTAGCTCTTCTAAGACCATTCCTAGCAGGCTCGTGGAAACCCAATTTCTGCAAACCAATGGCTTAAAAGCCGTGCAGCGGCCTAGTTAGATGGACTGAGGCCCCTTTGCAACCGCGAGTCAGCTCGCAGTATTCAGTGAGCTGGCCCGCGATCACTATAATTTTTTTTTCGTTTTTTCCTAATGCAAAGCGGACGTGTTTTGGTTTTTTTTGCAATGACTATGCATAGTTACCAAACGGTTGAATTAAAACCTAAAAATAGGTTATTTAGAGCTCTTTTTTTTAGAAATAAAATAAAATAAAAATTATTAAATAAAAAATATATTATTTAGGCATTGTTTATCCAAAAAAAAAAAAAATTTGGGCCAAAAATAAATTAAAAAACCTTTTTTTTTTCCCCTTAAAATTTGGTTTTTTAAAAAAAAAAAAAAAAATTGCTTTAAATTTTAAATGTGTAGGCCAAATAGTGTATTTAGCCGTTAAAGCATTGTTTCTACAGTACCAAACATTGCCTTAACGGCTATAATTTTAAAAAAAGTTTAAAAATTCAAATTTTTTTTAACTATATTCAAAAAAAAATTTTAATTAAAATTTTTAAAATCTCTATAAATACCCCAACTCCTACCTTCACTTATCACATCTCTATTATCTACCATTCAACTTATTTCTTCTTCTATTTTCTCAATCTTAGCTATTATTTTCAAAGTCATTTCAATTATATGAATTCTCGACATCCATTTTATTACAACACCCAATTCAACCCATCAAACGATGAGTTTTTGCCATTTTCCGAAGACAATATCAATTTTTATAGAGGAGATTCTCAATTTCCTTCTCATCAACCATCCCAACTTTCTTATCAACCATCCTAAACTTCTCGTCAATATTGTGGTACTAATGTTCCACAGTCAAGTAACTCAAAACAATCGGCTATCCGACATAATAATTGGACCAAGGCTGAAGATGAGGCTTTATGTTGGGCGTGGATGTCGATTACCTCTGATGCAATTACGAGGGCAGACCAAAGTAAGAAGAAGTTATGGGAGCAAATTCTAGAACAATATAAACATATTGGTGTTCCAACTGAGCAAAATGATGGAGGTTTGATGAATCATTAGTCAGTGATCCAACAAAAAATCAGCAAATTTTCCGGCTGCATGACTACCATAGAAATGAATCGTCCCAACAGCTTCAGCAGTGATGATATGGTGAGTTATTTATTATTTAAATATAACTCGTAAATATTTTAAATAGTCGGCTTTTAATTTTTTGTTATTTTTTTCGTGTGGATGATAGCAATTAAAAACCTGTTTCGTAGCCAAACAGGTGGTGAATTTAAGTTAGAAAGTAGCTTGGAGATCTTGAAGCATGACAATAAACGGAATTCACATTGTGCCGAACAAGTAGGAAAAGGAAAAAAGAAAAAAGAGCCGAAGAAAAGGAGTGGATTTGACTTTGACATTAATGAGTTTGTTGGGCACTCCTTACCATCTACTCCATCAAGTCATGCAGCCACGACAGATGGAGCCTCAACTGAAGAATCATTACACATAGGGGAAAATGATTCACCTGGTGTGAAAGAATTCAACTACAAAGACCAGCAGGAAGAAAAGCGGCGAAGCAGCGTCGAGCAAAAATTAATTCAGCGAATGAATTGCAAACTTCATTCGTTTCGAAATTTAATAATATCACTACCCGTTTTGAGAGTCGTCAGGAGAAAATGCAGAATGCCCAAGTGGCACGAGAGGTAAGAAAAATGGAGAAAGAGAAGACAAGGCAGCTAGAGATTCTAGAGAAACAGAGACTTGAAGAAAATGAGCTCATGTTAACAGATCCAAATTCGGCACCAACAGAAGCAGGAAAAGCTTGGATTATTGCACGACAAAATGAGATATTGGCATCTTTGAATTCACGGTCCGCCCCAAAGTTCCCATAGGATTTTGCAATCCTTGGTCTATTTATTTTGTTATTTCAATTTAGGATATTGTATTGTTTAAGTTATTTTTAATTGTTTTGTTTAATTTGTTTTTTTTAATCCATAATGGATAATGAATTGTTTCAAGTTCTAATATAAATCATAGTTTTTTTAATAATTTGCAAAAATATTGTTTAATTGAAAAATATTGTCGTTGAGAAAATATAGCCGTTGCAAATATAGCCGTAAAAAATATACCTGTTACGAATATAGCCATTTAGGAAAAGTTAAAAATAATAATAATAATTTTTTTTTTTTAGAGCGAAAATTCGGAGAGCCTGATGGAGTTCATGTTTTTGGAGAGCGAAAGCTGCTGATGTGGCTCTTGAAATTACTGATGTGGCTCTTGGAAAAGCTGATGTGGCTCTTGGAAAAGCTGATGTGGCGTTTTTAAAGAGCCAAAATCTGGAGAGGTTGGTGCAGATGGCCTAAGGTATTTCAAGTATTCCTGTTGCAACTAACGTGTGGAAAACTTCGTCATCCTCAACTGCAGTATATGTAGCAATAAAATTCTGTTCACAATTAATCTCATCAAAAACACTTGTTGCTTTAACAAAATTTTGACTAGACTAGATGCCACCATCCTTCGACTCTTTGACAAACTGTTTCTCTTTGTTACAATTTTGATATTTTTGAAACATCAGCTCTTCATAATTTGATGGTAAAAATTTAGCTATGAACATCCATTTCATCTTGTACCACGATCGAACAGGATGTAATCATTCCCTTCTTTGATGAAACTATATTTGTTCCTACCAAATCGAAGCCGATCCTTTAAGCTTTGAAGGCATACTTGCTTATTTTCAGGTACATCAAAATATTCGAAAAATTCTTCAACTTCTTCAATCCAGTCGAAGACATCTTTAATAATGAAACTTCCATTGAAAATAAGTAAACCAAGTTTTAACTGAAATTCACGATTGTTACGTCTACCTCGATCACGGTATGCAATCCTCATCATCGGAAGAATCATTGAAATAATTCGCATAGACTGGAGGCCTACGTGGAGAAACAGGAACATAATCCATGCTTGGTTGGCTGCGAGACGCATCATCAGCACGAATACAAACTGAACCACGATTTTGCTATGAAACGATCTTGAGTATGCATGGTTGCCCAAGGGATTTTCACTCAGCGATCATCTGAGAAAATGATCTTGGCAAAGTGGGTGCTAAGAAAACGATCACCTGCCATCAGACCGGGATAAAAATAAAAAAAAATAAAAAAAAAAATGGGGCTCTGACACTAACTGAGTAAGCGATAAATTTGTTCATGAGGAACAGATGATCTTGAATCCACAAGGTGGGTGTTTAAAGAAAATAAATAAAAAACTTAAAATATAAAAATTAGTAAACACGTAAAAGTGTCATACATCATGGCATTAACATGCTATGTGAACTCGCTACTTTATTCTCTGTTTAGGACTTTATGCACTCCTTAATGATTCCATGATCATATACGAAGAATGTAATATAGAAAAGGGGTCATGCTTATATTGCTTTTGTTGGTTCCATATATATTGAAGCTGAACCTGAACCTGAATCCTGAATGAATTTTTTTATAATTTCAGTTGAACAATAGTAATATTTTATGAGTATATAATGGGGCCAATTCCCCTGAAATATATCTGTATCTAATTTATGAAATATATATATATAGTCTTATGTTTCAATTTTTTTTTTATTTTTTTATTTCTTGATATGATATGTGTGGAATGAATGAAATTGAGCAATATAATTTCACACAAAATCGTTTGTATAAAATGTAAAAATTATTTGTCGACTGAAAATGTAAGATATTATCTACTTTTACACTCTTTTGTAATTACAATTTTCAAAATCGTTTACATATGTAGAATTTATCCCCTCGTTCGAGTGTCAAAAACTTTTACCTAATTTTCTTGAGTTAAAATAAATAAATAAATATATATATATATATAAGATACATGTGTACAGCCGACTCAGGCAACAGCGGATATGCCGTGTGCCGGAGTCGGCACTCGGCGCAAATATTATTCTATGATATGATAAGGTTTCTCCACATTTATTAGATCTCAGTCCAATTGGACACTTTGCCCAATCACATTTGGCCGACTTCAATTGGATTTTGACATGTAAACCCTAATTGAGGGTGGCTATGACACTTGGCAAATATAATATATATTTATTTATTTATTAGAAAAAAAAGGTCATACACATTAAACCCATTCTGATAAATCAGAAGCGGGACAGGTCAATTCGCATAGTCAAATAAATACAATAATCAATAACCAATTGCTCCATTCCACCCTCCTTCTCTGCCGCACAATAATTTTAGGCGTCTCCTTTATTTTGCATCCCTTCATCTTGACGATCATTATCATTGGCCTCCTTCGAAATTCCATTATTTTGTTGAAAATTATTGTGCTTATCCATATGTATGTGTACACACCCAAAATAATAGGATCAATTATTGTGGGAGTTTTTTTATAAAAAAAATAAAAATGAATAAATAAATAATTATATAACTTCTAAATTCTAACAATGAAAACTTATATTAAATGTGTCAATTATTTTTTTAAATTATTAAAGGAATATAAAGTTTGAAACAAACTACATGGTCATCGAATATGTTTAATTGTTTGTGATAATTTAAAAGGTTTAAATCTATCTAAACTCATAAACGGAGATTTAAATAAGACAAAAAACTTACACAAGCGGGTGTTCAAGAACTGATATGTGTTTTTTTAGTTGGGGGTGGGGGTGCAACAGGATAGATTTTTTTTTTTTTTTAATAAAAAAAAAAAGACACCCTTATATTTGAGCATCAAACCAGCACCACGAGGAAGGTTGACATCAAATTGAAAATTTGAAATAGAACACCAATGGACCACCGTGACATCAAATTATAGAGCATCCAATCCAACTGGGGGAACCAAGTAGAGCAAAATTCCAGAAAAATACAGAGAAGTCTATGGCATTTTGTAGACCTCACTTTTTAGCAACATGCAGCCTCAGAGATATCAGAAAGAAACAAAAAAATATATATATTTACATTTTAAAAATTAAATATATAAATTACCTCACAAGCATAAAAAAAAACCCGTCTATGGGGCCCGTACTTTATTATTATTATTATTTTATATTGGCAAAAAATTTTAAGTATTACAAGTGAGACTTATCCCACATCGAATTTGGATAGGGGTTAAAGTGTATATAAATGATTGTGTATACAGTACTACCGAATAACTTGAGTTTTTTAGTATATGGATAAACGTTCACCCGTTACAATTAGTATTAGATCAAATACTTAATTCGGTGTCCGGATCTGACCCAGAGTAGGTAAGGTGGCCCATAACACTTAAAATTTGTAATTTTATTCTTTATAATAATATAACACATTCGCGTAATTTCATTTTCTGCTCACTATCTTGCTAAACCAAAATGAAGTGATTAACACTATTATTTTCTTTATTTTATCTTCTCTCCAAACTGATTTTACCATATCCACTTTGCCTATTTATCCAAATGCACCACAATTTAGAAAATAGATGATCAAAAGAGTTGTCGATAAATATGGCACAAAGCCCTCAATTGAGTAGAGTTACAAATTCTTCCATTCCTATCCTTTAGTAACAAATAAATAAATAAATAAATACAAATATTAAAAATAAAATTAATTTATGTACTTTTTATCAAGCATAATTTGACCTCTTTAGAGCAAAAACCAGTTTTTGGATTTATCTATCATAAATTTCCCCTTTTAAGCTAAAACCATTCCCCAAAAATGACGGTACGATTGAATTCCCTGAAATTTTGAAATCCCAAATAGAATCTCTTACGCGATATCTGCTGTCATTCCGTGTTCATTGTACCAATATTCAGTATTCACATAACAAATATATAAATAGAGAGAGAGAGGGTTTAAGCATCCAATTTTCAGAGAGAGAGAGAGAGAGAGAGAGAGAGAGAGGAGGACAGCCCACGATCTGCCTACGCAACTCATCTTCCCCACAAGGACCAATCATGCCATCAGGTGCAAAGAAGAGAAAAGCCGCCAAGAAAAAGAAGGAAAATAACCCAAACATCTCTAACATTGCAACTCATTCTCAAGGTACTCTTTCTCTGGTCTTCACCTTTTCCATCTAATCTACACATTCCCATCTGTCAATCAGTCGCTCGCTCTCATATCTGCAATGGTTCATGTGGATCTGCCTGTCAATTTGGCTTGTTGGGTAATTGGGCATTTGTCTATATATCTTGTTTGTCAAAGTTCTTTGTTCTTCACTTTTATTACCCTTAAATGTATTTGTATGGATAAATTGGCTCGGTGGTTATGTGTTATTGGATTGTGTAAAGCTATCAGGAAATCATTTTAGTCCACAATCTCATCCACCATCCAAATACACCACCTATAGTTCTCTCATATCATACACTAATATTTTCGTAGTTAATTTTGATTTTTGGCTCATGGCTCAGCTTACTGGATGTATATTTATTATCGTGTCTTGTTTTTCTTGATGCTGTTATAAACTGTTGTGAATGTATCAAATATGGTAGGTGATGATGGTCAAAAAACCCATGATGAGAAAGAGAGTGATGGTAGTGAGCGTAGTTCTCCGATGTCTCAGGACCACCATGACCGGCAGCATTCATTCTCCGAGGGACAGGAGGAAGATGTCGAGAAGAGGGAAACCACTTCATCTGTTCGATCATTTGTCACTGAGAACAAATCTACTATAGGAATTGACCATAATAATGGAGAGAGTAGGAATAATGAAGAGGGCGATGTACCCAAGGATAATTTTGAGAGCAAGAATGCTAGTATTGAGTATGTTGAATCAGCGAGGGAAGCACGTGATGGACGCTCTAGCAGTAGTAGCTCAGATGATGAGTCCCGTGTTTATGATAAAAAAATAGTGGTGGTGGAGTCAGGGAAGTCAAAAGATGAGGCTTCTAATTCTATTCCGGAAAGTGTTACTTCTGTTAATTCAGTTAAGCCAGTTGATTCTTTGCCTGAAGTGGTACCTCAAGTTGTGGATGGTGTTCCTCTCAGTAAGGCTTATAATACAGTTGTGGAAAGTGCCCCTATTGGTGTTTCAGATAAGCTTTCATTCTCTGAAGAGGCGGTTCAAGTGGCTGAGAGTGCTCCAATTGAGAATTCTGTGCCTACTGATGTTGCGGACGAAAATGGGGAGAAAATGTCTTCAATAGAGAACAAGGGTTCTGAAGTTCCATCGGCTGTGATGGGATCACAGATCAAGGAGGTTTCACCGTCAACTGAGCATGCTGCAGCATCATCAGATGTGAAAGGCTTTGCACCACAAGAAAATAAAGATAAATTGATGTCATTTAACCCTCCTGGAGTTGATACCAGTAGTGGTGCAGAACACATCAAAGACACTGAGGTTCCTGAATGCTCTGAAAGCCAGGTGTGGCCAATAACTCCTTTCTTTCACATGAGGTTCAATTTATCATTTGTTTGCTTCAACATGTAATGAAAAATAAAATAATTTTTCCTCTTTTTTTATTTTTATTTTTATTTTTTTATTTTTATTTTTATTTTTTTTTTTTTGTGAAATTATTGGCAGCCTCTGGTAGATTCGGCTCCACAAGTGGTGCAAACAACTTCCTTGAAGAGTTGCTGTGGACTTTTTGAGGTGTTCACAGGCTCCGCTAGATAATTTCAGGTGGTGAAGCTTTTACCAATTTTAAAACATGTACCTGTTTTGTTAACTTGCTCTGTCATTGATTACTCCCTGCTATTGTTTAGATTGAGGCTAGGAAGCTATTAGCTTGTCATAGGTTGGTCGTTCAAAGTGTGTTGAGTACGTTTGTTGCTTATTGCTGCACATATGCTTGATTGCTGATTGGTAATCTTTTACATTTTAATATTTGTAATGCTGTCTTGTTAGTGTTTTGAATGTGTGTATTTAGAAAACGCAGTTACGCATGAATAAATGGATGAAATAAGAAGTTTATAAGATTAACACAATAGCCAATTCAGTTTTTCAACTAGTAATATTTATTTGCCAAATTATTAGTCACTTGTTTGTGTGCTTTTTACATGTCATCTATTCTTTTATCTCATTTTCCTTTTGTATTTTCTTTATAACAATGAATTTCATTCAGTTAAATGATAAAGTCCATAGTGTATTTTATTAATGGAGATTTCTTTTACAGCTTAGACAATGAGATTGTAATTAGATACAACTAGAAGCTGCAAAATCAAAAGTATCATGCAAGAAAAAGAATATAAATGTGATTACGGTGAAATTTGAAGTAAAAGTGAGGGAGTTCTTAAGATTTGATATAGGAGATATGGAGATACCTAACAGAAAATTTTGTTTAAGGTGCTCTTGAATTGATGGTGTTTTGCCCTCATTACTGGAGTAGGCGGACATGGAATGAGAGTTGCTTATGATATGTTCTTTGATCAATTCAGACTTTAGGTCTTTAACCTTCAGTTACATTGGGGACAATACTAGATCCTAAATTTTATTGATGTTAAGGAATTTCCTCCAAGATTCCTTCCACTATCTTGGCATCCAACCATTGTCTGTGCTTCTCTGTTCCCAACCTGTTGCCCATAAATTAAACCTGTAAAGATATGATTTATTGTCATTGAAGTATTATGGTCATCCACGGAATAAATATTGGATTTCATTCTTTGGCAGTCTGTGGAAGTAATTGTTTAAATTCATAATTTCTACTAGCACTGAAATCTTGTATGATCTTGTCTTTTTTATCACTTAACAACTATCTAGGGATCAAGGATCAAATTTCCTTTTGTTTCAAGTAAATCAGTCGAAACAAGTCTTTTTTCCAATGAACTGAACCGACTCGAAATTCACATGTTTCCATAACAAAGTTATTTCCAAACATACAGAGAAAAGATTTAAAGACACTGAAGCAGTTGAAAAATTTCCCTTCACATCGAAGACTGTTCCAGAAACTGGTACTAGGTAGTTTTTTTTTTTTATTATTTTCCCATGGGTAAAATACATTGACCTCCCCTTACACACAGCATGTAAGTTTGAAAAAAAGTTACACTGTACTCCCTAGAACTTTGGCTTGCACTAACAATGAACCCCCTCCGTCCAAATTTCTGTTTGCTTCGTCATAAAAATTAAGTGTGCTGACCAAAATGCCCTTCAACCCATTTGAAATGACTTTATTACCCTTAAATGCTATAAAAGTACAAATATATATATATATATATATATATCTTGTTTTCTTGGACAAATATATCCTCCACCACCCCACCGCCACCAACCCCTTCTCTCTCTCTTAAATATAAATAAAAAACCACCAACTGCAGCATTCTCTCACCCACAAGAAAATTAACATCATCTCTGTGCAAATCAAAGAGTCTATTTAAACATAAACCCATTTCATATTTTTCCTATATAAGTCTAAAAAAGTCAACATAAACCTTACCTTGCCCAAGCTGTAAGTCTAAAATTTCATAACAGATTCAAAGAGAAGGAAAGTACAGTTGAAGGCTAGAACCATTGCCTTCCAGTCAGGACAGTAACCCATCAAGCAATTCAAACCACTGCAACTCAAAAACAATCAAAATGGGTTTGATTTTGGTTTTAGTAATCAGTAATGGTGGTAATTAGATTCTTAGAATGTTTTGGTTTTGAAGTAACAGAAGGAAAAACAAAGAGTGAGAGAGAACGAACAAGAGAAGAGAGTGGGTATGAGTATCATTTCTCATTTTCAAATACTTTCATTTTTATGGTACTATACCATTGGGGGATATAATAGACATTTTATACATAAATTTGATGTCAGTAAGTAGTAAACCGTCAAAAGATGTTGGGTGTAACATTTTGACAAAAGTTTCCACCATGTGTATGTTCACTACGTCTCAGGGGAGGTCGGTGTATTTTACCCTTTTTCCAAATTCCAAATGACGGGGATATTGAAGAACTAAAAGCCAAAAACACAACAGAGATATCTCCAATTTGTAAAGATATCATATACAATTTGTAAAGATATCATATACAAGTAAAAGTACAAAAAACATGGGGTCGAAAGAGTTTATCGTCGGAGTTGCTAACAATAATAGTCAATATCTCCAATTTGTAAAGATATCATATACAAGTAGAAGTACAGGAAACATCGGAGTCATGAGAGTTTATTGTGGGCGTTGCTGACAATAATACTCTTAACTTGCAAATTATTTTCGTAAGTGTTTATTTAATGGGTAATTTACACAGACCTCCCCTATGGTTTGCCCTAATTACACGGAGCACCCTTCCTGTTTCGGAAATTATTCGGACCTTCCCTACTTTTGAAAATATCCTACACGGACCTCCCTTATGTGTGACGGACCGTTAAATACACGAACGGACTTGTCAAAATTATTGAAGTACCCTCTCCTTGGCATCTAAAATTACTAAACTACCCCATAAGTTATTAAGTAGGCATGACATCAGCTTGTCAGTATACAGACCGTCAGTTATCGCTTCTCTCTTTATCTTCACTTTCTCTCTTAGGCAGCTATGGACTCAGAATCTAGGAAACTGGAGATGTTCTCCTCCATCCTCCAAGAACCCCTCAAACAGCTCCTCCGCCGCCACCGCCCCAACTGCCTCGTCATGGACATGTTCCACCGCTGGGTCCCCGACGTCGTCGACGCCATCGGCGTCCCCAAAGCCTTTCGTTCTGATTCAAAGCCTTTCGTTCTTAAGGGTCTTCCCGATCAGATCGAATTAACGAGATCTCAACTTTCGATCTTCGCCAGAAGAGGAATTGAATTTCCCGGGAAATCCATGAGAGCCGAGCAAAACAATTTTGCCCAAAGAAGGCAAAATTCCGCCATTGATGAATTGGTTATATAGGTGTATTATATATACATGTATATATATATATATCTTTTAATATTTAACTATAGGGTTTGGTCTGTTTGGATTGTACGACCAAATTGCACTCCTAGTTGCATTAGGGCATGAAAAGGTAGGTTTCTTTATAAAGAAGATAAGCTTTTGGAAACAAATTCTAACAAATCAAAACTAAGGTTTGACTAGGAAAGTTTTCACACCTTTGATAGTAATCTTAAAAGGAAAAAATAAAAATCAGGATGGAAATCTCGCATATATATTGATGAAGATCGATCAAAAAAGAAAAAGGCAAAAACAATGGAAAAAACAAGTTGTGACGACCACGACGTAATCAGCAATCTCCCAGATGAGCTACTATGTTCAATTATCTCACTACTTCCGGGGAAAGAAGCCGTGGCAACAACCACCGTGTCTACCCGGTGGAGCCACCTCTGGAGGTCCGTTTCTCGCCTGGATTTCGACCCGAAAAAGCCGGACACAGATGATAAATATAAAAACAATATATTTTATACTAGGGTATTTTAGGGATTTTAGAAAAAATAGCAGATGACGTCATCAATTTCTGTCGTTAACCAGCGTTGACCGTAACGGAAGAGAGGTCCGTGTAGGATATTTTCAAAAGTATGGGAGGTCCGCGCAATTTCCGAAACAGGAAGGGTGCTCCGTGTAATTATGACAAACCATAGGGGAGGTCTGTATAAATTACCCTTATTTCATTTGTGGCTTATCTCAATATGTTTGCTTCATGTATTTTACACTATGCATGCCTCTTATGCCATAGTGTCATAGTTAGTTATAGTAATATAATATTACATGAGAAAATTAGCTTTAAAATCTTTCATATTGGCTTTTCATTTGTAAAGATTTGGTTGATAATATTGATGACTCATTCACATTTGTGTTCACTCCTCCATTGCATCCGAGTGTACTCTCATTGGATGTACGTCTCTTCAAAACATATTCAATGAGTTTATTATTTTGCTTATCTTGATGCATTTATATATATTTTGTTTCCATGTGTTATCAATTTCATCTTTGTCATTCTTATTGCATTTCTGAAATTTTGCCTAAACATTTTTGTTCCAGGTCGATCACACTCCAAAAAAAAAATTGGACCTTATTATTATTATTATTATTTTAATGGCTATTAGCTATAAGATGCCTTGGACTCTATTATTTTCTTTGTGCACTTCCTAATAACAACATAGATACTTCCTTTAGAGACTAAAATACTTTTTTGCTGCCTGACAGCCTTTGGGTCTCATTTGATGCAGAAACAGAGCATTAAGGAGCTCAATTGCACCAGTGTAGCTTGTGGAACTCATAGAAGCGTGTTCGGGTTAACGAAGTTTGTGATAGTTCCCTTCTGAGGCTCTTTCTTGAAGAATAATGGGCGAGAGGTCTGACTATACAGTAATGTTAATATTATTTTGGAAGGCCGCCCAAAGTCATTAGTATTCCAATATTGCTCTCTTTTTTTTTTAGGCAGGATTAGTGTTTTTCTCTTTGTTGGTGTGTTGTAGGCATCTTTATATTGGATAGAAAAATTGCACAATGCAGAATACAAGATTTACTATATGATTTAACATTCATTTGGTTGCTTGTCGAATTTGGTTTCTCCTCACAATGTTATGATTGGATCTTTACTCTTACTTCTATGCAAGTGTTTTCTAATCTTATTGTGAGCCTCAAGGGTTTGTGACGCTATCAATTATACTGTGTTACATTTGATTGCCCAATTTATCCATTTCACTTTCAGCTGCTTAAATATGGATTAGAGTTGATTATTGCATATTTTAAAGAATTTATATTAGGTTTGAAGTACTGATGGAACTGATTATATAATCTACCCTCTATGATTAATGTTGCTAATAATTTAGTATTTAATAAAATTTTGAGGAATTAGCTTGCTTCTATTGTGTATAATTAATAATTTAATGCAATGGAGGAGTTGTTTTTGTCTTTTTTTTTCCCTTCCAAATAATTGAAATGAATCTTTTTCTCAGCCATAAGTATTTGTGACTTGAATGTATATTTGCAGTAGTCTAGAATTTGTAATTAGTCAAGTACTTTTTCCCTCTGTTTATTGATTGATGTCGGACGCATTTTGACCTCGGCTTGAGGACTTATATGGGCCGTAGTCTTGGTCCTTAGAAAACAAGAATGGGGGATCTTGTTCTTCCTTGTTCAGATGCATGTGGAATCATGTATTTGCTTGAAGACTAATGTTGAAGTGATTTCTCAGAAAGTGAGGTAGCACAAGCTTTTTCTTTTGAGAAACCAGAACTTCGTAAACCTAAATCAGTGAATGAGATAGATAGAAGTTTAATACATTATCATCATGTTTTTCGTTTCATCTTTATTTTGTGTTTCTTTCTTCTTGTTGTGGAAATAGTTTCCATGTTACATTCTCTTTTAGCATAATAGTATGAAGACCTTCATGAAGTTATATTAATGCAATATCATGGAGTAATGTCTTTTTCACGCTGATTGATGATAAATATCTAAAGCTCAAAAGTAGGGGAGATTCGATTGGCAAATAAATTTAAAACACCCATTACAATCATGTTCTTTGTACATCATTTCCTTTATTTGATACAACGCAAGTCTTACCACAAAATGACAGTTGCCTACTAAATTGTGCCCAGAAAAAAATACAAGTAAAAATAAAAATCACAGACACAGAATATGACTCAACCCTGGAGTTTATACCCTTGAACTCCTTGAAACACCACCATGAATGACAGCAATGTATAGAAGATGAGTAGCTGAAAGAATAATTGTGAATGCTTCCATCGTTTTCTGCAAAACAGAGCAAAATTTTTGTAAATGTGTTAGCTTATTCTGTTTTCATGACCGAAGTTCTATGACAAATTGATGAGTGTTATTTACAAAGAAAGCCATGAGTTGCTCTTACCAGACGGGCGTTCCTGTTTTGCAGCTCAATCTCTTTGCACGCAAAGCTGCACAAATTGCAATGCTAGTCAATTGATAGAAAAGCTATATTTCAAGTGATCTTTAAACTAGTAGTACATTTATGCAAGTTTTTACACATCACAAGTGATTGATAATGAAGATTTGTGGAGGATAATGACATACCCCATGGCAAGGAGAGTAAGTGTCCATGCTATGGTGGCAGCAGAAGAAGCAGGTCCCAGGCTATCGATGTTCCAGAAACGAACATGGTTGAATCCAGCGATGACTGACGAGAGACCAACAACTCCCGCGATCAAAGCAAACATTACGAAGAATCCAGTGGCAGCATTTCCCATTGGGAAGTATACAGGAGAAAAGTGTGCAGGGAGATGATATGCTGGACCTGTTAGCACGCATTTTCCACAGCATTAGTATGTCAAGAAAATCAAAGTGTTTGTGTTTGTGTGCGCGCGCGCGCGAGAGAGAGATATGGAGAGAAATTTACCGATGATGAAACCATGATCAATGGCTCTATTCAATGCCCATCCACCGATGCCCGAAACTATGAAATACATGCAGAAATTGAGGACCAAAAGCAGCGATGCAATGGATTGGAACGAATTTTTAGCCATTTTGGAGCTACTGTGGTATATGATAAAGAGCTTCCGAAGGAGTTAGGATTTAGGAGTTGTCAGAGGTCCTAAAAGATGTTTAGACATATATGTGTTTCTTTGCAAGGCGGGGAGGTCTTATAAAAGGCCTTATTAGAAGGTTTTGGTTCTTTTCTTGCAAGGTTGTTGCTTCTGAAGGGCTTTGTGGGGTTGTCAAGATGATGCTTCAAATTCAAGGCAAGGCAGCAAAACCAGATTCTTTCTTGGCTCACATTTCTGAACCTTCTTCTCAAATGGTACATTCTTTAGTTCTTTCTAGGAGGGAAAGTGATATTCTTTTCCTAGGAAAAATGTACTTCAATGTTCTTGACACATAGATAACATGATTTTGACACGTAATAATATAACTCACAAAATAAAAAATTAAATAAAATATAATTAGTTGTTAATAAGGGGTGAAATCATATATCACCAAGTCTGCCCCCAATGGAGAGCAGCCGGTGGTGTGGCAAAACCAAGTGGACCCATTTTCTCAAAAACAGTACTCCAATAAACCCTAATTGTCAAATCTGACCAACCTGAGTCGCATGAGAAAAGTCAAAATTGCAAATCTTTTATAGTGGTACACTATTCTCAGCCATATGTTGTTCATAATCTACGCAATTGGCTACCTTATGATTTTTCCGTTGCTCTGATGAATAGTCATGCTAGCATTTCCCGCCATTTTTCGATGTCTCAAAATTTCACCCAAATCTTTCTTCAATTCACCTTTTGTATTCTCCATTGCTTTCACAGACTTCTCCAAATCTTTCAAGGGTGTCACCACTTCCACAAGATCGAGTGCTTTCTCTTGGAGTTCAGTACTCTCTGATCACCTAAAGCACAAAAGACTAGATGAAGCTCGCTTGGTTTTTGATAGAATACCTTTGCCCAGTGTTCATTTGTGCACTAAGATGATAGTGGGTTATGCGGAAAACCAAAGAATCGAGGATGCCTTGAAGCTGTTTGACAAAATGCCGGCTAGGGATGTGGCTTCTTGGAATTCTATGATCAAAGGGTGTTTAAATTGTGGGGATTTTAATATGGCTAGGAAATTTTTTGATGAAATGCCGGAAAGAAATGTGATTTCTTGGACAACAATGATGAATGGTTTCTTGCAGGTTGGGAAAGTCAAAGAGGCTGAGCACTTGTTTCATGAGATGCCCACAAGGGATATAGCTGCTTGGAATTCGATGATTTATGGGTATTTTAGCAATGGTAGAGCTGAAGATGCTATGAAGTTGTTTGACAAAATGCCTTGTCGGAATGTGATTTCGTGGACTTCAATGATTAGTGGGCTTGACCAGCATGGGAGGAGTGATGAAGCTTTGATTCTCTTCCCGCAGATGGTGGGTTCCGGTGTTGAACCCACTTCGAATACGTTTTCATGTGTCATAACAGCTTGTGCAAATGCATTCGCTTTACATCCAGGTATTCAAATTCATGCCCATGTTGTCAAGCTCGGCTACTCTTTTGATGTATATATTACTGCATCCCTTATCACATTCTATGCAAATTGCAATTGGATAGATGATTCTTGCAAGGTTTTTAATCTGAAATTGCATGTAAATGTGGTCGTATGGACGGCTCTTTTGACAGGGTATGGTTTGAATTGTAAACATGAAGATGCATTGAAGGTTTTCAGTGACATGATAAAAATTGGTATCCTCCCGAATCAATCTTCTTTCACTAGTGCCTTGAATTCGTCCTGTGAACTGGACACTCTTGATAGAGGGAAAGTGATTCATACTGTAGCTATCAAACTGGGCCTGGAAACTGATGTCTTTGTGGGTAATTCTCTTACTGTATTGTATTCTAAATGCGGAAATATCAATAGTGGAGTAGCCATATTCAAGAAAATTGATCAAAAGAACATTGTTTCATGGAACTCAGTTATTGTTGGATGTGCACAAAATGGGTGTGGCATGTGGACACTAACACTCTTTACCCAAATGATACGTGCTGGGGTGGACCCGGATGAGATCTCATTCACTGGTTTGCTTTTAGCTTGTAGCCATTCTGGAATGTTGCAGAAAGGAAGATGCTTTTTTAAGTATTTTGGTCAATGTCAATCCGTTGAGGTAAAGCTTGAGCACTATGCCTGTATGGTGGATATTTTGGGCCGAAGTGGGAAGTTGGAGGAAGCAGAGGAGTTAGTCAGAAATATGCCGATGAAGGCTAGTTCAACCATTTGGCTCACCTTGCTCAATGCTTGTAGAATGCATTCTAATTTAGAATTGGCTGAAAAAGCTGCAACATGTGTTTTTGATTTAGACCCACAGTGTAGTGCTGCTTATGTTTTATTGTCTAATTTATATGCTTTTACTAGCAGATGGAGTGATGTCGCAAGAGTAAGAGGGAAGATGAAACAGAGAGGAGTCACAAAACAACCAGGATGCAGTTGGGTTACTCTAAAGGGATTGAGGCACATGTTTCGTTCTGGAGATAGATCCCATCCATTAAGTGATAAAATATATCAGAAACTGGACTGGTTGGGAGATAAGTTGAAAGAGTTCGGGTATGTTCCTGATCAAAGGTTTGCATTGCATGATGTAGATGATGAACAGAAGGAAACCATCTTGTCTTATCATAGTGAGAGGCTTGCTTTTGGGTTTGGGCTGATTAGTACTGTAGAGGGAAGTACAATAACAGTGATGAAGAATCTCCGTGTATGCGGCGATTGCCATGCTGCCATTAAGCTTATGGCGAAGATTGTTGGGCGTGAGATTGTTTTGAGAGATTCTAACCGCTTTCATCACTTCAAGGATGGCTTTTGTTCTTGCAGGGATTATTGGTAAGACAAGGCTTTGAGGAGTGGAGGAAGATGAAAGATTGAAAGAAATTCAATGAGATGCAGAAAGTCTGATTGATCTTTTGACTGTATTGAACAAGAAGTTTTCAAGGAATATTGCAGAATTTGAGTGAGAGATGCTGGACTGAGTAGTAAAAACTGGAGAATTTGAGGTTGTAACCGCAGGAAATGAAGGATTCATGAAAGAAGTAGATGATGTCAAGAAGTTGAATTTGAACGGCGTGCACAAAGAGTCTGATCCATATTGTGATTGCATTGATGTTATAGTTTTAAACAATATGGAAGGACTGGCGAAAAGAAGCACTAGATTGATGACTTAAACGTGCAGTAACTGAAGGATTTAAGAAGAAAGTACTACAAGATGACATAAAGAATAAAATGTTTGCTTGTAAAGCCAAAAAAGAGATTTTCATGTGGAATTGCAAAGTGTTAACGAAGAATGTAAACAGGTCACTCAAACTAGTTGACCAATTGGAAAAGATGTTGTTATTTTGTGGCAAGTGAAGAGTAAAGACAGAGTTGCTGAAAGTACTGCAGTGTCTGCCCGTGGTTTGAATTCTTGATCAAATGGTGTTATACTGAAGCTTAGGGATGTGGTTTGAATTCTTCATTCTTCATCAGATGGTGTTATACTGAAGCTGATGGATGCAGTGATGCGCTGAGGGATGCAGTGAGCTCTTTTTTGCATTTGCTCACTTGTCAGCAAAAAGATCAGAATCCTTGTAAATAGAGAAGAACATGCCTCTTCTGTTTGAAATTGTTAAGTTAGTTTTAGGTATTGATTTGAATTTTGCTCCAGCTCATGGTTTCTTTTGCTTTATTACATTTTGATCTTGGCTAGTTGCTCCATGGAGACTTGCAACCTTCAATCTGGCATATAACTCATATTATGAAAATAAGAAAAATAAACAGGGGATCGATCGCAGCTGTATAATAATATTGCTTCTCCGTGCTGGAGCAATTCCATCATCAAAGGAACTTGGATCAGCACTACTAGTACACTTTTTCACCTGCAGTAGCAAAACAACCGTGGAGCTCTTCCACCCACATTGTTCCAACACAATCATCTTTTTCCACCTCCAATATCACCCACCATAAAAGGTAATATTTTACAACCGCAGCCAAAATTTGTTACCTCCTCCTTTCTCAATATGTTAGGCGAAGGGCCGCAAACTCTAAATGAGAGTCTACTTGATTACTCTTATCAAATATATGTGAGTTACGAAAATTTGGGATCAATTGGTAAACCAGTACAAACAGGAAAAAACTGTTGTTGTCATTGACCATGAACTTTTTAGTCACGAAAATTTGGAATAAATTGGTAAACCAGTACAAAGCAGGAAAAAATTGTTGTTATCATTGACCATAAACTTTTTGGTCACGAAAATTTGGGATCAATTGGTAAACCAGTACAAGCAGGAAAAAATTGTGGTTATCAAAACAGAGGTTTAACATATATCAACAGATTATGGTTTCGAGGTCGTCCATGCCTTGTGAAAATGAAAGCAGGTTTTTGGCTCGCAATAAAAAAAAAGCTAGGTTCCTGATCTAGCAACTCGTAGTCCTATCTATCCACCTCTCCAGACACAATATGCATAAACTTTTTAGTCACTTATGCATCAATCAAGCCAAAATTCCATAATAATAAACAATAATTAAAATTTTCCATAATAGTGTAATCCTAAAACAGCATTTGAAGCACCCACATGGCAAAAGAAACTAGTGTTGGTCGGATATCACTTGCCAGACAACTGAGAATATTCAGGTTATTGCAATTGAATTGTTTCAAGTAAGACTTTCACGGTGCAATTGAATTGTTTCAAGTAAGATCTTCATGGACCTAACTAACTGCTTGTTCTCAGGAGAAAATGAACAAAGTTCTTTTAAATTGGATAATGAATAAAATCCAACTCAGAGGAGATGTCAACCTTGGATATGGTTCGAGTAGAAGACAATTCAGATTAGACGACCATACAAAGTCAGGACACTAAGGTTCAACGTCAACAATGAAAAATAATTAAGCAGCAGCACTGAGTTGCAAGACAAACGAAGTTTTAATACTAGATATAATGTAGAAACTCCCTAAAGCATGAAATCTTATTCATCCTCCTGGCTGCGCAACCTAGCAAGCTTGTTGGTAACAACAACATCAAGTTGAGCAGCGCGCTCCACGATCTCTTTCCTCTTCCTCGTGGATACATTGTGTGCAATCTCCGCACAATAATTCCTGCATTGAAAATGATAAAGATACACAATAACAAATTAGGACCAAGAATTTAGTAGGATTGGAATGAAAAAAAAATTAAAACAAAAAAAAACAAACAAACAAGAAATGAAAAATGAGAAGGAATTTCTTTTGTTTTGTACCTATTGTGCATCATCAGAATTTCAAGCTCTTTCACATTGTGCACTACGAACTTCTTGAAACCATTAGGAAGATAGTGACGAGTCTTCTTGTCTGAACCGTAGCCAATATTGGGCATCAAAGTGCATCCTTTGAATTTCCTTCTGACTCGAGAATCAATACCTTTTGGCCTACGCCAGTTTGGCTGTCATATATGAATCCAACAACACATGATTAATGCAAGTAATTTCACAATGTAACCTCTGTGTAGTAATTTGAACAGGATACGGTGATACCATACGGAATTGAATATCAAAATGAGAAGACAGAGAGACAAGACAGCAACAGAAACACATCAGGGTGAGCAGGAAATAACATGAAAGGAAAATGTGACATTCGGTAGCACAACACATGATACATAGCTAGTTCACTGCTGATGGTCAGATATTTTCATACCCGTAACAAAATAATTAAACAATGATTTAATCCCAGGTGGCAGATTCACAGTTTAAAATCCAGCTCTACCAACTAACTCGTTTAATGTGTTTCGTTTTTTCAAGAAAACAACCCCAAGATGATTCTCACAACTAATTGCAGAGTAGATCACTACGACTTTTCAATTCATTGACGTAGATCTCGGACCTATGAACGGGGATATTTCCAAAACTCACAAAGACAAAAGGATGTGAGTTAGACAAAAAGAAAAGAAACATGGACAAAAAAAAAAAGAAGTGACTTGGACAAAAAGAAAAGAAACATGGACCAAAAAAAGAGCAGTGACTTGGACAAAAAGAAACAAAGTGGCTTATAGACAAATCTCTTTTCAGATACAAATCAATCAAATATTGATTAATACGTAATCAATCAATCGAATATTGATTAATACGTAATCAATCAAACACTACTTGAAAACGGCTCTTCTATATATCATATAGACGGACAATCAAACATATTTCTCCATTCAATAGCAGCCCAAAGGGGTAAATAGGGTCCCAAATAACAAGAGATATGTAAAAAAAAAAAAATCACTTCTAAAAATGAAAGGGTAACAACAATTTAAATTAATAAATAAAATATTTTAATAAACAATAAGAAACCCAAATAAGATTATAAAAATAAAAGGATTCAGGAAACGCAAGCAGGGAAAAAGTAATAGCGAGCATAAAAGAATGAAGCTTGCCGTGTCGCAAGACCTGTTCAGTATTCAATTTCTGCCCTTTAATCAAGACGGATGACCAGCTAAAGAAATAATGTCTGGACATCAGATAGCATGGGCAAATAAAACTGAGACAGATAGATAGAGAAAATAATATGCATATTAAAAAAATGATCTTTGTGTTTGCAATCTCAGCCGAAAGATGGTGAATATTTTGTGCAATAATCACTTCAAAATCAGAATTGAGATATAGTTTACATCATAGATTGCAAAACAGAAGTAAAGGAAAAAAGAAAACTAATAATAAGTAATGAAATATTAGAAAGGAAATTTTAGTTCAATATAAATAAGTTTAAAGATACTAAATATGTTTGAGAGAACAGACAATAGTGTATTGTTTATATTCACCATTCTTCAACTGCAGAAGAGATGGATATATCAACCGACCTCTTCACAAATCTAAAATTCACATACATCAAGAACCAAAATGTTAAAAGGGAACAAATAAGTTTCTTTTAACAAGGAAACAGAAACAAAATGAAAATCACCATTTTGCATCAAGAGATGCATGTCATTAAAGGCTGGAGCACCAAAACGATCTTAACATTTCACATTTTTTTAGGATAACCAACTAAGATAAGTGCCAAACTTACCAACAAACCCTCGTTGCATTAGGTGACTCAACTAAAACAATTGGCACAGGTCCTATTCTTTTTCCGGTTAGGAGAGCAAGGATGAAAAATATAGCCAATGTTATCAATACAAAAGGCTGGGGCCACAAAGATCTGGACTCGTTCTTGCAATTAAAAGCAATATTAAGTAAAAATGAAAATTAACTATAAAATGAAGCACTTACTTTAGTGGCTTAATGTAAAAATTATGATTAATGTAATCGAGTTTCATGATAAAATCAACCTTTTGCATCCTTCATTCATCAATACAAAAACTTCATATTTTGGCCAAGTACAAATTACATCAATTTTCGTACTGAGAATTGGTGTAAAAAATCGTAATTCTAAGAGCCAAAAAGTTGTAAACGGAACACATAAATTTTAAGTTAATAAATTATAAGGTTGGGGGAAAATGATTGAATTAACTGAAACAAAGCACTTGTTTAAATGTATTTACTTGATTGAAAAATATGTAAATTCTCTAATGGCCTGAGAATTAAAAGGCTCAAATTTTTGCACTAAGACAACCAAAATAAGTCCTCCAAACTTTTGGCTAACCAAATTATACATCATGCTCTTGCTATGCGAAGCAGTTGTTCACAATCATCACCAAATTAGAGCCCATTATGAATAAGATCAAATTAAGTCACACAAACAAAACACATCTTAAATACCAGCAAATAACATATACCAATGAAATTAACAATAACCAATTAAGTGAAACAAACAAAAAATAATAATAATAAATGAACTCGAACACACAACAAAAATATAGAGCTAATCATAAAATGAAGTAGATCGATCATCATGCGATTGTAAGCATAGAAATGTAAGATAAATTCACACGCCCTTTTATATACATATATATATATATGAACAATCGAATGGATCTCTAGTATGAGTGTGTATATATAACATACCTTGACGGAGACCTTGCGATCGCTCCAGGGCCTCTTGAACTTCGTGGCCCTCTTCTTCACGATCTTCTTGCTCAGCAGAGGCACAGCCATTGCTAACACACTTACCTTCTACACAAATAACCAACAACAGATCTATCAAATGTTTCTGCATATACATATATACACACACACACACAGAGAGAGAGAGAGAGACTCACAGTGATTTGGAGCTCCTATCCAGCCGCCCGCCCTCATTCAGAGGCCTACTGCTTAACCTTTTATAAGCACGCTCACGAGCTCCTCGACTAGGGTTAGAGTCAAACGTCTACGGGGGATTAGAGGTTCCCTATTACCTATTAACGGCAAAGGATTAAGGTCCACTTATGAAACAGTGGACATGCGATGCATACAATCACGATATTTTTCTCAAAATAAAATTGACCCATAGGACCTGTTTGGTGTTGTCCAAATTTCATTTTTCTTTTTTGCATTCCTGTGGAATTGATTAAAATTTTGAATACAAAATTTTAATTTTCAATTGGTGTTTTATATTCTAGTGTTTCAAAAATATAGAATTATTCTAATTCGTATTTTAAAAAATAATTTTCATAACACGGTTAATATAATTTAATAGTACTTTTTCACTTTCTTAAGGTGAGAGTTCAAGTCCTCGTAAAAATACGTGAGTATGTGGGTTGGTAATTCTTACCAATGAAATAAAAATAATTATACAAGTAACTAGAAGCAAGTATTATCTAAAATTTCTTTTCTTGAATCAATTTTCGTAACATAATTTTAAAATTACTAAACACATTTATTTGTTTTCTATTTGTAAAATTGTAATAACAAGAAGTGTTAATAAACAATGTGCGTCTACTAACTACTAAACTTTTTGTTCTCTGTTTGTGCCCCCCAAGAAATCATAAACTTGATTTTACTTTTCTAAGTGAAAGTAGAAAGGAGAAATGATGTTTATTAACACTTGTTGGTGTACAATTTTGAAAGCATAAATCAATAAAAGTGTTTAATAATACATATTTGTTACAAAATATATATAATATTTTTAATTTTTGTATTTAATTTTTATTTTTTTCCATTAGTACCAAAAAAAACTTAAAATATTTATACAATTCAATTATTTCACAAATATTAACAATACCCAATACATGATAATAAAATACAATATTCAATTAAAAATCACAAATTACATAAATACAAAATAAGATATATTAAAACAAAAAGACTCTAACCAATTATGTATACATAATATATTTAACATATAGTATATTATAATAAATAAAAAATGTTAAATAATATATTTTATAATTTAATATTTACATATAATATATTATAAATAGGGTATATAATAATATAAAATATCTATTGCATAATAATTTAATAATAGTATGTAAAATAATTCATAAATATATAATAAATCATAAATATTTTTGTCCCAAAAAATAACTTACACTATTATATAATATATTATATATTAAATTTTTTATTAAATAAAAAATAATTTACACTAATATGTAATATAATTATTTTAAAAATATAAATTTTTTAGTTGTTAATATATAGTATTAATATATAACATGAATCCCACGAATTTTATTTGAAACAAAGAATGCCTACGTAGACTAATGAAAACGTTTTTTGCTCAACAGTGTCAAAAACATATGTAACATTTTTTTTTATGTTTTCTCTTTTCTTCACAAAAATGAAAAACATTTTCGGCTATAAAAAAACATAAACATACGGTTAATCATGAATTTTTTTTTTTTTTTTTTTTTTTTTTTTTTTTTTTTTTTTTTTTTTGATGGATTGGCAATAGAAAACGGAGCCAATATATATGCTTTATACTTCTACTCATAAATTACAATTACTAATTTTAATAAGAAAAATTATAAAAGTGGACTAGTTGTCTCCCATAGTTGTGGATAGAAAGCTGTTATGGGGAACCTAGTAGTCATGTGAGATTGAGACACATCTAGCCTAGTAATATCTCCTCTACCTGATAAAATAAATGATGAGGGTTCAAACTTGCCTGAGTTTCTTGCCAATGAAAAATAAAACAACAGCTAAACAGGAGTATAAGACTTCATTGTAGATACAAAATCCTGTATATTCTTATATGTGCACTAAAAAGTCATGTATTACATCAAAATCTTATATTACTCTGTAATCTCCATTGCACAAACCTTATCAAGAGGGCAAGCATTCAAAGAACTGTAAATCGAACAGTGAAACTCGTAAGAGTTCGGCAAGGAGGGGATAACATCAACCCAGTCTTTGTCAACCTTCTCTACATGTGAATTTGGCTTCGGGATTGCATGAAAATGGAGTTTATCAATCTGTTTTGTCAGCTTCTTCATAAATTTCATGGAGAATATCAAGTGAAAATTTTCAGTAAAATGTTTCATATCCTTGAAGATTCGGATCCCAACATGTGCTTCACATGAATTAACTAGCCCAAGTAACATTCTCCCGCCAACGTGTGTTTCATTAACGCTGCAAACCTGCAAGAAAGTGTCGTGCCAAGAAGTTAATTCAAAGCATGATGTAACGATATTTCAGGAATGAGAAGACCAACCAAAATCAGTATGGATTATATATAGTAGAAAGATTATACGACATGCATCCAAAGAAAAAAATAAAAAAGATGAGCCTAAAGTAAAGATATATAGCAGGATGGTCTAAGGTATAAGGATTCATCTCTTTTATGGAAAGTCATAAATGCCATTGATCTGTTTAGGTTTTGTCATGATCCTTCCCCAGAGGGTAAAGGACATGCCAGGGAACCCACTTTCATCAAAAAATTCAAGAGCATCTTGATAACTCACCTCTCCCACTGTTCAGGAAACAAGACAAGCGTGTAAGTAAAACTTGCCACACAGTGCAGCACTAACAGTAAAAAATGTGGAACTCAATGCCCACAAAAGAGCTTTGCGCACACATTTTAATCCATCCGACCCACTACATTAAAAGTAAAAAGAAAAACAAAAATGCAAAACGTTATCAAGAGGCAAGCCTAGAAAAAGTTTCTTTTACTTTTTTTCCTTGTGTGTTACGTAATTGTTAGTTGTTAGTAAGTGGAGAAGATGTTCTCATGCTCTTAGGAAGCCCTTGAACCGGTTGGAAAATATATATGTTGTAAAATGGAAAAAATAAAACATATATTAAGTTTTTAACTTGCTTTAAGTAAATGAGAATGGGACAAGCATATTTTGCTGGCTGTCATGTACCCTTGTGTTTCACTTGAATAGGTAGTTATCTTTTCAGAACTTGTGAGTTTTAAGTAAAATGCAGGTTTCTGTGAGTTTTTCCCCCTTTTCACTTTTATTCCAGTGTATGTTAATGTCATAAATTACCACACACGCCGCTTGAGGGAAAAACATCGGATCTGGGACCTTAAAGAATAAGGTTGGATTAAAAAAAATGTACGCAAAAAGAAAACACTAAATAACATTTCATTACATCTCATTTTGTATATACATAGAAAAAAAATATTGCGAAGTATCTAACCTCAATATACTCCACCCCCATTTCGCTGAGATTCTCTAATATGTTGTTGGATGAAAGTAAGCTAACAACCCCTCCAGATCCAACTGGTGTTTGGAGTAATTCCCATGGTGACTTCATCAGAATCTTATGCTTGTTTTGTTCTTCGAGCGAATTACTAACAACTGGCAGCTTCTCTTCTTCCAAGAACCAGACCTATAAATAGATTGCAAGGTAAAAGGCATGAGGGTTCACAAACTAAAGAATGAGATGTACAAATGTAATCTCACTATCATATATGAATTCATTAAAGACGAAGTTATCCCATATGAACAAATATGGATCCTCACCGAATCCAAGTCAATAGCCTACAATAAACACCTTTAGGTTGTTAAACCACACAAATCATGGTGGTTAAAGTTTATGAAATAAGATTTTTTTAGTCCTGTCGAGGATCAACTCTGAAAATGCTCCAAAATTTTTCTAAATTTATTTTTGAAACTCCATTAGCGTGTTATAAATTGCTGCATGCAAACAATTCAAAATAAGCCACTACAAAATGCTGAATACATCAAACTGTCTTGAAATAAAAAATAAAGAAATATTCTTTCTTTTGCTTTCCATTGTACAGTTCATTAAAATCTACAATGGTCATCCTTGAAATCAATTCTAATTACACCACGCTGTTATATCCAATAATTTACAATTTGTTTGGCAAAAGAAAATAACATTCAGAAGCATCAACCTTAGTCCAGTTGAGTGAGGCACCCCAAAATAACTGAAAATAAAATTACAGATTTGTCCGTAAGGAAAATGTCAGGCATATATTCGTCCTATTTTGCTAAGGGCACTAGTATAACTAACCAAAATTACAAGATACACTAGACGTGTATTTCAAGATCAAACTATGGAATAAAGGTAATTAAAATTTTCAACCATGAAGTCACTGTGGAAAAATAACCAATAAGTCACATCCTTGCATGGTAAAGGAATAATGATCTATAAGTAAGAAATTTGAAAACAAATTTCAGAAAGTGATGTACTAACCTTCTCAGAATTGAAAGCAAAGTGGTCATGACTTGAGAACAATTTTTTCAGAGAACTGATTGTATGAGCAGGGCAAACCAAAATCAAAGGCACATATGCACGGTCTTCTATCTGCAATGGACAAATGGATTTATCAGACCATATTGCAGAGTTGCTGCCTACACAAGGGGAAAATTTCCTTTGAAGTGGATTATTGTGATATTTAGCTTAATAGAAATCAATGGTGACTAAAGTTCACTTCTATATTTGGATTTTGGAGTGTGTCATTGCCTATAGAAACCATCAACTCATATCCCCGTGGATAGAATGTATTGAGAGGAAATACCAAATGACAAAAAGGGAACTGTAAGCACACAAATAAGACGAAAATTTACAATAACATATTTCTTTTTTTTTTTTTTTTGATAAGTAAATAAAATAGTTCTTTTTAGAAGAAAAAAAAAAAAAAGAATTAAAATCATGTAATGAGCCTTGGTTTTGGCTGCATGGAAAACATAAGGAGTAGTAGTTATATGAGAAAATAATAATAATAATAATATCCAAATGACTCCACATTATCTGGTGAAAAAGTTGCTATATGATTGAATTGCATTATTGTATTTTATTTAACGGAGACCACACTGGGTAATGACCCTTTGCCCATTTATTGTATTTTCCTTTTAAGTACCTAAAAATCAAATATTACAATTTCATGGTGTCCAATATTTCCGACCATAAAAATTTTAAGTGCCATACACAAGCAAAAAACAATAAAGTAAATTTGAAAATTCTTAGGAACTATTAAGAAAATGTAACAAAAGTCAAACCAATATGAAAAAATCATGTCAAATAGCAGAATAAGAAACAGAGAGAGCCTTGCATCTACTAGTTAGGAGCAAAGCACAAAAAATATAAAAAATATACGAACAATTTAGCATTCTTTATCACGTCAAGAAAACAATAGAGCTCATTTAAATTAAAATTTGAAAGAGGTGCTACCTTCACAAATTTCTTAACGTCGCAAAGTAATTTCTGTAGTAAAAGACAGGATGAGTCCTCCATTCTTTCAGAGTCAACAAGATTAGGGTCAGAGACACTCCCCTGCATTTCACTGTCATCCACAGCTAAAGCAATAGCAACTTTGCCACTAGATGTGAGAAGGTGACCCTTTTCTTGCAACTCGGAATTGGCATTTAGCTTTTCTCCCCTTCCAGTAGCAAGGCATTCCTCCGAAATTCTCAAAGTGCTTCTCACTTGCTTGGCTAAATTACCCGTGATAAACTCTGGTAAATTCCATCTGAATCAAAAAGTAGCACAAAATAGAGGTGTCAAACCATCAATGCATTTGGCACCAACTTGAACAAAATACAAACCCTTGATACTACTATACAATATGCATATGTCCTCAATGTTCTACACCTGATGGAAACATATTTAAAACCAGTTTTTAGATAAATGAAGTTACTTTTGTAGCAATGATGGAAACATATTTAAGACCAGTTTTGAACTTTTGATGTCTATTGACTGGGGGTACATGAATATGGCAAATAAAGCCTCACTCATTCATCACCATATTGGATTTGCTTACAAAAGCATATTGAAAAACAAAAAAAAAAACGTGATTGAGAAAAATAATATTTGGAAAGTAGCCATACAACCACAGTAACATACTAACATTGCTACACCTATTGGCTTTCATATATTATATTTCCAAAATCAAATAAAGCATGAAAAACATTGAAATTGAAAATATATTATAAAAACAAATTATATAACCAAATTAGATTCCTAATATTATTTTCTATACTATTTCTCTACTGTTTTTAACCAAATAGCATATCAGTGCACACACTCTCCAATCCACACATGAATTAAATGATCAAGATAAAGCAAAATGGATCCAAATAGTGAAATTTCACCTATCAGAGGGTATCTTAAAATTCTGCAGTGCCTGTTGAAGCAATTTGGATTTTACTCCCACAATCTGATCTGCAAGCAAGCTTGTTTGGGCTTTCTCTCCAAATCTAAACCCATGAAAAACATGTTTCTGCTCCATTTCACACAGTTTCTTTTTTGCTGCTATGAGACGTTGTTGAAACTTTTTCCTTTGCTTCCATTCCTGAAATGTACAACAGACAATTTTTTAAGATTAAATCCGCAAACAAGCTACATGTGCAGCCATAAAATTGATTCAAAACTGCATTTTCTGGCAAAATGGAAAGTGAAACATTCTTGAGAACAAAAAAAAACATATAGCTGTTGGTCTTTCAAAATATTACTGAATGCACTTCCAGTACTGCTTAACACAAATAGAGTTTGATACTACATATTTTTTTATTTGAAGCACGAGTCAAAAAATTACAGCTGTATAAATATTAAGCTTGATAACAACTCAAAAAAGAAGAGTAGGAATTTCCTTAAAATGCTAAGAGGACACCTACATCTATGGAAATACCAAACAGAGAAAGCTGGAGCAGAAGGCAACAACTATAAAGAGGCACGCTTATCAATCCAATACAACTAACAACGCTAGTGTGGTGCCCTAAAAAGCATAACATCAAGTAAATGTTACTCTAATAAGATGAATAGGACCTAATTCCATTCAGAAGTCACTTGCCATCTCTACTTGCTATATAAATATGTGTGCATGCATATGTAAAATTATTAATCATAAATAAAACAAAAGTGCAAAATGTAAAAGAATGAATAACTAATAGTTTAATAACTGATAAGAGTCTATATCTAGGTAAAATTAAGTATTTACTATGTAAGCAAGGCTTTCCTATAGATATTATATGTCCAAAACAAGGAGGAGCTTAATAAAGCCACCAAGAGGAAAACAATAACAGTTATCTAACACAACTCTAAAATGATTAAAATGTGAAATCATTTCAGCCGCCACTCATAGCGCTCCCTCACCCCTGACTGGAAAAGAGACATATGACATAGTGGCAATTCATGAAAGGAGCAAGCTGAGAACCTAGTCCCAACATAAAAGATCCTCCAGCCACTCTTAATTTGCTGAAGAATCGGTTGACAAATTTGTTGATCTGGGAGAATGTAAGATTAAGGCCTTCGTATTAACTTTGAAGAATCTCAAGGCTTATGTTGGCTATCTTCAATAAAACACAGCATCCAACTAAATCCAACTGAGAGCACGAAGATTCCCTCCCATAACCATGCTGTAAGAGACTATATTTTAAGGAGGCTTAAAATAGCTAAACTCGCACACATTTATAGTAATGAAATTACCAACTAGATGAACTTGATTCTGTAATCAAAGAGCCTAAATCCAACTCATCTAGTATATACAGCTCAACGGCCCATAATGAACAAGATAAAAGGAGTGAATCAAAGAGAGTAAAGACCCTAAGGAGTTTAACTAGATGAATTTTCTATCTTAATTGTGGCAAATGCAAAAAATATTTTACCATAGTCTAGCTAACAAAGTCATAGTTTCACCCAAATGCAAACCCACAAAGCAAAGAAGAATGTCCACTGAATACTTAAATAAATGTAACCAATGGGTGCTTAAATTAAATTATCAAAACAGAAAAAAGAATTTGTGTCATTTACAAATTTAAGAGATAATAATAATTCAGTAGAACAGTAGAGTATGCCTCACAAGCTGGCGCCTTTCTTTCTTGGACCTCTCATCAGAGCGTATGTTTAACTCAAGGAGCCCCTTTGGAGGTGTAATCAGCATTTCTCTTCTGTTAATATCAACATTTGGAACAATTGCTTCCACAAACGGAACCCACACAAGAGGAGCAGAAGCACCTCCATTTGGTTCTTGCTTTCCAGTTCCATCAGGCATTTCAGTGGATGAATTAAGCATGACATGTAAAAGATCGCTTGCACCACTGTCGAAAACATTTACAACAGTTCCCACTGGTTCACCAGTTTCCTGAAAGAGAAGAAGAAAGATCAATGCCATGGAAATCAAAGCTTCTACCAATGAAACAAAAGGAACCAAATATTCTCCTAGAGTAAAAAAAATCAAAAGGAAGATGTATCAAAGCAAACAATATCACTAAAGTAAAAGTACAAACCTTGAGAATAACTCTCATGCCAACAAGATCACGGGTATAAAATTCGCCTTCCTCCAACTCTGGTCTATCTTCTTCCCTTACAAGTATGATTGACCCGACGAGTTGCTGCGCCTGAAAGAATAAAGAATAACAAAATTATATCAGAACTACATGCACACAAAATAAAACAGTAAATTTTTTTTTTTTTTTTTTTTACTAGTTGGTACTCACACACACCCCTCCAAGGAATTGTTTGCACCTAGCAAGAATCGATCATGAGACCTGATGCTTCATGAAGGACCAGGGCCCAAGTCTTTTCCAACTAGGCCAACCCCTTGGGTTTAAAACAGTAAAAATTTCACGGCATTATTTTTAAATTAATTGCCTCCAACACACACTACCTATGGCAACCTTGTGGGCGGGTGTGCCGTGGGTGGGTGTAAGGCACTGGCAAGCTACCACACTGGGCGAGCTACGGGTGCACAATCCCACATTGCCTAGGTAAGGGAAAGGTTAAGTACTTATATGTGGTGGTGTTATCTCCAATTGGTATGAGGCCTTTTGGGGTAAAGCCCAAGAATAAAACCACGCGGGCTCGGGTCCAAAGCGGACAATATCATACCATGCGATAGAGTGAGTCGTTACAAATAGTATCAGAGCCTGACCCAGCCGGAAGTGTGGCCAACGAGGACGTTGGCCCCAAAGGGGCAGTGATTGTGGCGACCTTGTGGGCGGGTGTGTGTGAGCGTGTGCAGGTGGCACCAGTAGGCTACCACACTGAGCGAGCTACAAGTGCACAATCCCACATCGCCTGGGTGTGGATAGGGCAAGTGCTATATGTAGATTCAACACCCTTTTATGATACAATGCGTTTTAAAACCGTGAACCCACCAAAATTCCAGAGTTAAGCATACTTAACCTAGAGTAGTACCAGGATGGGTGACCCCCTGGGAAGTCTCTGGTCAAGGTGCCAAAAGCGAACAATATTGTGTCTGAACAGGGTGAGGGTTGTTACACTACCAATTTTCAAATTGTATTGATGATGAGCTATGGTTGAAAGGATTCATGTAGCTAACAGCCTAACACTAAGTCATTAAGGTGAGGATGTTCTCTTTGACTTGCAATAAAGCAAGAAGTTAGCCTGAGAGACTTGAAGCAACTTAAATCTACCTAAAAAATTTAACAACTAATAATGGCATACTTAGTACATGTTGACGAGTCTTCCACTCCAACGTTAAAATAACAATACTTTTATTTCTTGGAGGCGGGGACTTTAAAAATTATTTATAAACAGATTAAAACTAGTCCCAACCTGTTATAAAATGCACCAAAAAGATAAACAGAAGCAAATTTTGATAGAAACCATATATATTTAAAAAATAAATAAACTTTCTAACAATCGAAATCTGTTACTAGCAACTGTTGCTTTTTCATCATTATTTTCCTACAAAACATTATAGGTTTTCTAAGATCATGATTTCATCATATAACAACAGCAGTAAACATACCCAAGTGTGCAAAGCATCATAGAAAATAGAAAAGTAAGACTGTGCATGAAAATTTAATCTCTGTAATTCTGAAGAGTTCAGCGGGAAAAGAGAATTATCAACCAACTCTTCAAACTTGGACTGAAAGTTGACACAGATAGGCAGCCAGCTGAGGTTGGAACTATTCAGCTGTTCAACCTGATGTTGATGACGAATGACGATAGACAGGGAATGAAGTACTTACAAATAAATAAACCTATATTGCTGTAAGAAAATATAAAAGATAGCGAAATGCATATTAATGACATAAAGCAATCAATAACACCATGCTTATGAAGAAGAAAAAAATTCAATCACCATGTTTATTACCTCAATAATGTTATCTCGTAATAATTTACAAGCCACCACATTCTGCTAAAACAGGTGCTCCTAAGATCCAGAACTAGTGGTTAATGATGTAAAAGGACAGACCAGCCTAATTCTTCCAATAAAATCTCAACAAAAAAAATAAAATAAAATAAAAAATTCCCATCTGATCCCTGGCAGTGGCATTGATTACAATGTGCAGCATATGAACTGAAAAAAAAGGCAAAAATATGGCAGGTTAAGAACAACAAAGTACTCCAATTAACTTTACCTGGTCTACTGTGTCTATTTCCCTGAATCTAACAATCCAACTCTTCTGTCCAGGGTGTCCTCCTCTTCCCTCCACCAACTCAACTTCTTGAATTGTACTTCTCCCCATAAATTGTTGCCTCAACCATCTTCTCCCTGGCTACAAAAGAACAGTAATTTACAGTAAAATAATGCTAAGAATTTGAGGAGAGATACCCAATTAAGAAGGTTTCAATACTATTGCTGGACTTCCCCAATATTCTTTGTACCTTGGAAAATCGCAATTCAGGGAAATCAGTGCTGGGTTTTACCCGAACCTCTCCTTGAAGCCCATGAACATTGCATATATACCCAATTTCAACAAATTCTGGTTCGGTCTTACTGGTTTCAACAGTCACTTGCATAGCTGAAATGGAATAAAAAATAAATAAAAATAAAAATCAACACAATCCCGTTACATATAAACCTCAAATAATGTAAACTTATCAAAGGATATTCCCATGGACATTAAAATGTTCCAATATTGATATATTTTAATCCAATCTTATTGCTTGCAACAATTTCTCAAGCAGCTGCAGTGGAATTTTTTTGATAAGTAAGCAGCTGCAGTAGATTAACAAACAAGAACACGATTGCATCACAAAAAAAAAAAAAGGTGAAAATGTTTTAACTCCACTAGTGGATATCACAACCAATGTTGCAATTCAATTCACTCTCACTGCTTTCAGTAATCTCTTGACTAAATGAAGTCAGAGCGAAATTACCAACTGATTCAACATTCCTATAGCTTGAAAAACAAAACACAAAAGTGAACAATAAAAGAATTTATTAAATGGTGAATCCTGATAACAAGTACACAAACCCATAAATTTAAAAGACAATTTAAATATAACAGTAAGGAATAGCATATTTATGTAATATCATATTTAGGTTAATCTGACTGATTTCTTCTATCTACTGAATTAAGCCACATCAATAAATAAGATAACAAGGTCCAACACATAAAGTGACTGGTTGTTTAAACCCGTAAAGTCAATTAACAAAACATTACACAAATTAGACGAAGCTGACACATGAAACACAAGAATTTCCAAACCTATCATATGGACATTCCTTTTAATGTTGCACAATAATTTAATTCCAAGTCATCATTCACAAGAATTACTTAGAGAAAAATAAAACAAAATCAACAACCAATGACACAAACCTGTCGTGTAAAGGACGGGAATGATCAACATCCACCACAGAAAATCGGTACATAAGCTGAAATATGTATTCTAACATAAATGAATTTTGATTGTATCATTTCTGATTTCAATAATACCCAACACTGAACAGACACATAATAACACAAACTCGTACCATAAAATGCTAAAATAATCCAAACTATCAAAGGACACCACCATAAAAGCATATATATGTATCAACTGTTATTGGTTTCAACATATTCTGGAGTAGCTGAAGCTAAATAAACAAACAAAAAACACAAACCCATCACATGAAAAATCAAAATAATCCAAATCCATAAAATAAACCCTCCAAAAGTATAAAAACATGCTAAATTTAAACTCGAAAATTAGAATTACCAGTACTGTGCAGAGGAGAGAGGGCATGTTGGTTAGCATGCGAAGAATTTAAGGGCAGTTGATAAAAGCATGAAGAAGTGGACACCAGACCAACACATCGACTTCGAAAGGCGACTGTGGGTCGCTGAGAGGTAGAGATATGGGGTAATGGAGAGAATAAATTTGAAGAACATAGAAGAGATGAACTCTGCATCATTCAGTCACTGAAAACTGAATAATTAGACTCCAAACGAAGAGATAAATATCTGGGTACACAATTAAACGTACAAAATCGTCTGCATAATATGCATAATAGTACCCTTTTTTTTTTACTGCCCCAACCAAACCAACAAGAGAAGCAAAATAAAGAACACAGCATTAGCCCAAACAAAGAGCCCCAATTCGGCCCAGCCCAAACAGTATCAAAAAGACACTTCTAGTCTAGGAAGCCCTAGACTATATGTGTCTAGATTCTACGTGCATCCGGTGAGAACAAAGGGTGGCTCAGGCGGTGGCCTAATAAACGACGGCAAGTGCCAGTCCAATTGTAGCCGTCTAGCAAGGGGGAGTCTTTGACTTTGAAGGTGAGCAGTTTTAATCAAACCATGTCAGTGATTTGTCTAAACACCATGTTCTGTGTCGATCTCTGATTTGTGAAGATTCTGTTATTGCGTTCCTGCCAGATCCTGTTGATGGCTGTGGAGAGCATAAGCTTGTTCACCGAGGACCTCAAATCCCTTCTTAACCAGCGCTGTGATGATCGTTCAACCAAGTCGGACCAAGAAGAATGGGGTAAGTGGAATCTGCATTTCTGCTGGAAAGCGATCCAAATGGGTCTGGTAAATGAGCACACAAAGAATAGATAACTGTGTGATTCGTCAACCAAGTTGTAAAGACGACATGTTTTAGGGCCAGAGAATGATCTCATACTGCTTCTGTCAAGCATGGGTAACCTGTTTTGCACTGCGAGCCAGAGGGAAAACCTACAACGCGTTACTGAAAAATTATTCCAGATTAGGTGAGTCTAAGGTTTTGCTTGCCTCTAAACTTCGAGCCAACCCATTGTATGGCTAAGTGAGAAAATTCCTATAGGTGATGGGGTACAGACAAAATTATCAGCAGACTCGGACGGTGGCTCAATATTGGTAAGCTCGGGGAAGTGATCAAGAAGGTGCTGTGGGAAGGTCCATTGCCTATCTTGGACAAACAGAGATAGTTTTTCAACAAGTGGGACTTGGGAGTGAATGATGAAATCCTCTGAAACTCTTGAGGATAGAGGTTCATCCTGCAACCAGCTATCCTCCCAAAAAAAAGTTGAGGCTCCATTTCCAACCTTTATCTGTATCATAGACCTAGCCACTCCACGCAATTATAGGATTCTCTTCTAGTTGCTTAAACAGGACTGTGGGATACCAATGGTCCAGAAACATCTATTTCTAACCAGCTGAACCCTCACCTATTAAGCCCATAGATTGTCCCTTGTATTGGATAGGAGTGTCCAGATATATCTAAGAGCAGTTGTTCTGTTCGCAACCTCAAGTCCTCTGAATCTAAGTCCCCCACACTCTTTAGGTTAACAACAAGCAACCCAATGGACCTTAGCACCTGTATGTTTAAAATCAGTACCTGTCCATAAAAAGTTTCGCATAAGCTTGTTAACTTCAGTGATGACTGACATGGGTAGGATAAAGAGGTTAGACCAATAATTGATCATGCTATAAAGCACTGATTGAATTAACTGAGCCCTACCAGCATATGAGAGGGAATTTGTGGACCAATGGTTGATCATTTTTGTGATTTTTTCCACTAGCCCTCTACAGTCATTAGCATTGAGTCTAATGGAAATTAGTGGTATACCCAAATACCTTATAGGTAGAGAGCCACAGTCATACCCAAGTAAAGCCTTAATGTCTTCAATTGTTGCATTATCCACACCAAAGACAAAATAACGAGCTTTTTGAGCAATTAATACAGAGACCTAAGAGCCAAAAGAAATGATCAAGTGCCTGTTTGAGGGTAGTAATGGAAGATAAGTCTCCATGGCAGAATAATAGAAGATCATTCGCAAATATGAGGTAGGAGATGCCTAGGATCCTGTATCTTGAGTGGAACTTAAAATCTGGACTGTCAGTAATGAATCTTTTGATGATAGAGGAGAGGACAACCATGGCTATAACAAAAAGAAATGGTGAAATTGGGTCTCCATGCCTTAACCCCTTGACTCCTTGGAAGTGTCCGTGGAACTCTCCATTAAGTGACACTGTAAAGGAGGGGGAGGTAATGCAGGCTCGAATCCATTCAATGAAGGGAAGAGGGAAACCAAGCAAGGTTAATACATTCAACAAAAAATCCCATCCCACTGAGTCGAAGGCCTTCATGAGGTTTTTCTTAATTGTGCACCTAGATGGAGAGAGAGGTTTGTGATAACCCTGTACAAGTTCCTATGCTAGGAACACACTGTCCCCAATATGTCTGCCCTTCACAAAAGCATTCCGCCAGAAGTCAGTGATGGAAGGAAGTACTTGTTTCAGTTTGTGGGCCAGTAGCTTAGCTATACATTTATAGATGGCATTGCAACGTGAAATGGGCGGAAAATCATTAAGAGATGTAGGCTAGGGGTCGTTGGCACCAATGCAATATAGGAGTTGTTAACTTCTCTCAGTAGTTTGCCACTAACAAAGAAATTCCTGATGGCTTTAGTCACATCCCTACCTATCACAGGCCAAGCCATATGATAAAAGTGGGCAATGAAGCCATCTGGTCCTGGAGACTTATCTTTACTAAGAGAGAAAAAACATGATTGGATTTCTGTGTCAGTAGGAATTGCACAGAGTATTGGCAATAATATAGGTCGGACTGTTTTTGTAATGAAAGGCTGTAATGCTGCATTATCAGGGAAATAGGGAGGAGAACAACCTAATAGGTTATGGAAATGTGAAACAGCCTCTGCAATCACAAGGGGTTTGGGGCCATCAGAACTTGAAGTAAAACATGTAATCTTCCTTCTATTGAGCTTTGAGTTGTAGACCTTAAAGAAAAAGCTAAGTGTTGCAATCCCCCTCATTCAGCCACCTCACCCTTGCTTTTTGCTTGATAAACTATTCCTCAACAAGTGCACATTTAGAGAGCTGTTGTATCAGTTGCTTTTCCTATACTCTCAACTAAACATCTCTACGGTTGGAGTCAAGTAGCAATTGACATGAAGCAAGAGCCTGTCGAGAGTGGGAAACCATTGTTGTGGCTTGAGAGATTTCCAGTTTGCATGTATGCCTGAGTGCACCTTTAAGAGATTTGAGCTTTTATGAAACCTGAAACATTGTGTTACCACCTATAGGAGTAGACCAAACCTGCTCCACTGTAGAGACGAATAGAGGGTTAGTAGCCCAAGAATTGAAATATCTAAATGGAATTCTTCTTGCTCTAGGAACTAAGCCCAGCTTAACAAGTATGGGGCTGTGATCTGACAAGCCAGGAGGCATGAAAGTACAATCTGACATAGGTTAGGAGATGGTCCATTTCTCATTAATTAGTGCTTTTATCAAGCTTTTTTGCAATGTTGGCATGCCTTAAACTTATGTTGCTCCATGTGTATTGAATCCCAAAGAACCTTAGGTCCTCCAACTATGAGTGATAGAGACAATCCCTAAAGTCATTTATTGTAGCCATCCACCTCTGGGAGCCTCTAAAGTTTTCTAAAGGGGAGTTGATTATATTGAAGTCACCAAGGATGACCCCTGGGCAGATGCAAAAAGTGTGGAATGCTCATTAATGCTATCCCAAAGCTCCAGTCTTTCTATATCATCATTGGCTCCGTAAACAAAATGAAGCATAACAAAGAGAATTATCAGAATTAATAGTCACTGCACAATGGATAACCTGCCTAATAGCTTTGATCAGCTCCACTTTGAACATATCAGGATTCCATATAATCCATATTCTTCCCCCAAATTTGAGAAGCCATGATTATGTAGGATGGACCATCGAGGAACAATGGTCTTATGGACTAGGCTAAGACCGTACACGTGTGTGTTTTGTGACTCTCCGCGCGCGAGAGAGAAACATGGGGAAAAATCTAGATAATGTAATACGGGCAGAGACTAAGCAAGAAATTTGGATTGGGCTTGGGTCCTAGCCCCAATTTTCTGATTTCTGAAAAGTAATTTCTTGCTTAAAATGAATAAATATATTATTTAATGCGGACTTAATTCAAGTGGTCTCTGGTTTTCTTTTCAAATGAAAAACTTCACTTGGGCCTTAAAATCACAATCCCAGTTATAATTGTAAGGGGTGGCATTTGAGCGGGTTAAGCAGCCCAATGGTCACTTCAAGCTAAACCTAATATACTAACGCCTTATCCTATGTAACTAACCTGGAATAGCACTCAAAGTGAGTCAAACTTGTGAGAATTCAATAATGTAATTCATATTAGAATTTGGAAATGACTCAAAATTTTATATTCTTTATTATTTTAGTTATAAATTTAACTTAATATCAATTATTATAATTTTATTCAAAACTTTTAAAAAGTTAATAAGTACCAATATTATCATGTCATCCAATAATAAATAATCCAATATTAACTTATATCATGTAAACAACACGCAGTAATAAAAATGTAAAAATTATAATTTTTTCTTATACTTGGGGTTGTTCGGATTAGTAAAACATATTTTTTAAATTCTACCTAAAATAAATTCCGACTCTGAGATTTAAACTCTACTCCGATCTCATGATGTCAAATATTTTACTTTCCGAGTTAGTCCAACTCTTAATAATATACAGTAAATTTATATATATAAGTATATATACAACTCATATATGTGTGTGTGTGTGTGTCATCTATCTATACGCATAGCATTTTTAGCCTTGTCCACATGGAGATGGGAGTGGGCCCGTGGGGGTGTTAAATTGGAAATTTGTTGTGGGATTTTGATATTTGTCTTTTAAGATACATGTGTGTATCAAAAGTCTAGTTCTGCTCTTGTTGGTGATTAGTGTGGCAATTAATGATCATGGACCATGTACCTAAAATAGCATCCAGTCCCATGTGACATTAAAGATTAGGATTGGTATCGCATAACTGGTTAAGTAAACAGTTGCAAAACTGATTAAGCAAACTGGCTATTCATCACTGTAAAAGAAGGCTTTGGAAATCATCTAAAATGGGATGTGTGATTTTCATCGAAATGACCAAGGAATTGTTCAAGACAATTGTCAATATTGATTCCAATTAGGCAATATATTTTTGTACAAAATGTATATTCTTATACTCTAGTCCGATAATATCATATTTAACGTATGAATTTT